AATGCATTTTGTGGTCTGATTTGTTTTGCTTTTACTGTTTTTATTTGTCAGACCATCTAAAACACATATGGATTAGTTCTTGAATTGCTGAGGTCTACATCTAATAGTTTTCTCTTTTATTCCGGGATAGACAGTGTGAGCATTTGATTAAGTCTTGAGTTAGTCAGACCTAGAATTTTTAGCACTCTCCATGCTTTTATTCTGATAAAGGCCTGGTTCAGAGAAAGTTCAACCTAGGTTTAGCCATGGTTCAGACTTGGTTCACTTCTGGTTAAGTCCTGGCTCAGTCCTGGTCCAGGCCCTTTCTTTGGCTCTTGCATAGCACTGGGCTCTCCTCTTTGTATGTCTTGGATGTAAATGGCCTGTACATATGGAGGGGTGGAGCAGCTATCAAACACTACCATTACTACTACTGCTATTGATTGGTGCATAAAGTGCAGGAGGCCGGGGGAGGAGACCAAAGCCCACTGGAGAGAGGCCTCCAGGGGACAGGGAAGAAGAGCCCTCAGAGCAGGAGTGTGACTCGGGTCATGTCTCCTCCCGTCCACCATCGCTACAGGACATGAGGAACTTCAAACCCCAAGAGGCTTAGAGCGAGAGGGCACTTTTCCCAATGCCTGAACCAAAACTAAATGAACTCACTCTGAACTGAATCCTTTAGCTGCCAGTTTTTTTCCAGCAAAACTCGATGTGAAATGGATGAAAGTTGGAGCCATGAAAATGTATAAGAGAAAAATGAAAAGAAAGAGAGAAAACCACCACTGATGCCTACTACTACTACTACTACTACTGCTACTACTACAGGTCTGTCATGTACATGTGTTTGGCTGAGGTACTGCAGACGTTGTCAGCTCCTATAAAAAAAAAAGAAGTTTGTCAGGTCCTACAGCCAAAGCCCGTATGCCATCGGGTTGTGATACTTGAGATACTACTACTGCTATTGCAACTACTACTACTATTACTACTACTACTATTACTACTACGACTCTCACAACAACTACTACTAGTCCAACTTCTTCTACTAATAAAAACCTCATACTAATATTACAGCTACTACTACTACTGCTACTTCCACTGCTACTTCTTCTACTACTACCACTGCCACTACTACTACTCTTACTTCCTCTGCTATACTACTAATAGGCAGGACAAGTAAAATAAAAAATAATCACAGTACATTAAAAAGAGTGAAGATACAATCCTTCAAGCGTGTCCTGTCCATGGTCCTGTCCTGTCCATGGTCCTGTCCTGTCCATGGTCCTGTTCTGTTCATGGTCCTGTCCTGTCCATGGTCCTGTCCTGTCCATGGTCCTGTCCTGTCCATGGTCCTGTCCTGTCAGGAGTCCTGGGGCCATTCCCAATGCAGTGGCGCTCTCTGCTGGACATATAAGGAACAACTAAAAACAACTTTCTCTTATTGTTTTCTCTTTTATTGAAAGAAAGGTAAAGGAACAGACATTAAGGCATGCAGAAATTGAAAGTAAGAAATTTTACTTTTGAGCCCAGAGATCTGAACGCAATCAATCCAATCAAATTCACTTGGGTTAGGATTTTGTCATAAAACAGCACAGGGTGAATAAAGTTTTAAAATACTCCATCCAAATGATGCAACTGCTGACTATACAGTTATTTAATTTTTAATGTATTACTTTCATGATGTTTTTGCAGAGAAAAACTAACTGACACTACTCTGAATTCCAGTTGTAGTGTTTGTGTTTTTTTTACCCAAACCTCCAAAATGCATATGTTTATGTAAATGTATAAAAACATAACTCAAATTCTCAAATAAATTCCCTAAATCAGTAGTTGTCAATTGGTGAATGTATCTATATAACAAAAATGCCATCTGTAAAAGAGTAACTATACTTCTTGAAAGAAATTTACAAAATTAATATTAAGAAAGTGTCCATAATGGGTGTATAAATAATATACAAAAATAAAAAACAAACACAGAAACTAGATGGTAATTTGCTTTTTTGATCGTTTATTTTAACAGCATTAATTCTGCTCATAAAGGCAAATAACAGAAGGTGACCAGAGAATAATGTTACTTTGTTACTGGCGTTTCATCTCTGCTGTTTGCAGACGATGTTGTCCTGTTGGATCCAACAAACCAGGACCTACAACATGCACTGGGACGGTTTGCAGCCGAGTGTGAAGTGGCTGGGATGAGAATCAGCACCTCCAAATCCGAGGCCATGGTGCTCGACCGGAAAAAGGTGCCTTGCCCTCTGCAGGTGGGTGGAGAGGTCCTTCCTCAAGTGGAGGAGTTCAAGTATCTCGGGGTCTTGTTCACGAGTGAGGGAAGAATGGAGCGTGAGATTGACAGGCGGATCGGTGCAGCGTGCGCAGTGATGCAGTCGCTGTATCGGACCGTTGTGGTGAAGAGGGAGCTGAGCCGAAAGGCAAAGCTCTCGATTTACCGGTCAATCTTCGTTCCCTCCCTCACTTATGGTCATGAGCTTTGGGTAATGACCGAAAGAACGAGATTGCGGATACAAGCGGTCGAAATGAGCTTCTTCCGCAGAGTGGCTGGGCGCTCCCTTAGAGATAGGATGAGGAGCTCAGTCACATGGGAGGAGCTCGGAGTAGAGCCGCTGCTTCTCCACGTCGAGAGGAACCAGTTGAGGTGGCTCGGGCGTCTGTTCCGGATGCCTCCTGGACGCCTCCCTGGGGAGGTGTTCCGGGCACGTCCCACCGAGAGGAGGCCCCGGGGAAGACCCAGGACACGCTGGAGGGACTATGTCTCTCAGCTGGCCTGGGAACGTCTTGGGGTCCTCCCGGACGAGCTGTAGGAAGTGTGTGTGGATAGGGAAGTCTGGGCGTCTCTGCTTAGACTGCTGCCCCCGCGACCCGGCAACGGATAAAGTGGAAGAAAATGGATGGATGGATGGGTGTTACTGGCGTCAGCTACTGATGATAGCTTGTTATAAAGACACATCCACAAACAAGTGTAGTGTAATGCGGTTAAAAGCCGGGGTGTGGAGCAGACCAGTTGAAGACAGCAGTATCTCCTCACCAACCCGCCGGCTGGTTTTGTAGTTACTGTTCCTATAGCGTCTGTGGTATTTAAAGATGAGGTTTGTGATTCTGTTGGAAGTTATCAAAATAACTGCAAATCTACCAACACACAGCTGTCTGTCCAAACTCACAACTCAAACAAGGACAACACTGATCAGAGATGCACACACGAGGCTCATGGTGGAGGAGCTTCAGACATCCACATCATGAAGCAAATATAAGCCATACAAACTGCACAGTGCTTTTTTAATGTTTGTAGCACATCTTCTGCATATGTGGTTATTTTAAGGTACTTTTCACATCATGGATGTATTTGGGACAAAATGCACTGATAGTTTGAATATCAGAATCAGAATCATTGTTATTGCCACGTAAGTAACACAATATAGTTTTGAGGTTGTTTTTTATTCTGAACAATATGTCTTCAGTTTGGATTGAAACACAACTGAAAATAGGCTGAGGACAGTTAGGATAAAAATGTATATTACTTATGTTTCGAGTCTATTGTTTGGAGTGAAATATAGGATGTGGCTGTTTTTCAGATACATTTAGTTTTTAAATTAGGTCTAACATGCTATGGTTGAAAATTGGCCAGATGGGATTTTTTATTTTATTTTTATTTTTATTTTATTCATTCGAGCAGAAATATCACGATCACAAGTATTTACAATATTTACATTCCTTAGTTTACATTATTCTTTGTACATGTTGCCTGCTATACTTACAGTATATACGTATACATGAAAATATATAAACATAACTATACAATCAAGCGAAAATTGCTCTAGTTTCACCATGTGATGTATATCTACAATATGAATATCAATATGTATTTACAAATGAACCTCTATTTACAATTTTTCAGCTCGAAATGGAGTGGGAAGGAAGTAAAAACTTGTCGACTCCCACCCCATAAACATAATTCAAATACATGCAAAAATGTTGTTGTTTAGTATTGAATAAATAATACCTTAATAATAATTTGTTGTGTTCAGTGCAATTTAATACTTTAATAAAGCTAAATCTGAAACATTGATCACTGTGCCCCAGCAAGGCCCAGCGCCCCAACTCAGGCCAGCTCCAGTCACCAGAAGCAGCCACCACAGCAGTAGACCAATCATGCAGAGGACCACGGTCCAACACACAGCAGGATCCAACAACACCATGAGCAACAGAGGACCATGGTCCAACACACAGCAGGATCCAACAACACCATGAGCAACAGAGGACCATGGTCCAACACACAGCAGGATCCAACAACACCATGAGCAACAGAGGACCATGGTCCAACACACAGCAGGATCCAACAACACCATGAGCAACAGAGGACCATGGTCCAACACACAGCAGGATCCAACAACACACATGAGCAACAGAGGACCATGGTCCAACACACAGCAGGATCCAACAACACCATGAGCAACAGAGGACCATGGTCCAACACACAGCAGGATCCAACAACACCATGAGCAACCACCTCACTGGTCATTCAAATAATTGTTTTGTTCTTTCAGATGAAAAGGCATTTAATCACTTCTTACAAAGTTTCTTTACCTTTGATAGAGCCGATTATCACCACCGTGACTGTCCTAGCTCCACTTTCAGGCCGAAGATACTTTCTTATATTTTTACTCTTTTAATATATATGCATATATGTATTTATTTATTTATTTTTATTCTTATTTTGTTTTTACTCTTTTGTGTGTCCAAATGCAATATAGACAGTGAGGTCATTCCACACAGCGTTTCCACATAGAACGCCTCCATGACGTAGGGATGAAGTTAAGTTTGAAATAATTTAATAAAATATCGGGCCCAAATTATATTGGTCAGTCTATAGTTATTTCCCTGGTTTCGGTTCTGAATAGTCCTCGGTCAGACAGTCCTGGTCTAGCCCCTGCCAGACCTGGTCTAGTCCCTGGTGAGGCCTGGTCTAGTCCCTGGTCAGACAGTCCTGCTCGGGTCAGCGGCAGCTTGTGATGATCCTGTACAGCGGACGTCCCACCCTCACTTCCTGTTTCCTCCTGCTCCATTGTTCTGCACACTTCCTGCTTCCTGTGGCCCACCTTCTTCAGGAGCTGAGGAAACACATGCACACAGCACTCCTCCTGCACCTCCTCCACCTGAGCAGGTCCGAGATGCTCTATAATTGAGCAGTGCCCATTCCCTGGTGGAACGGCAGAGCCTCTAAAGTACAAGCTCCCTTTGTGTCCTGAGGCACAAGACAAGACAAGACAGGTTTATTTGTATAGCACAATTCAGACTCAAAGTATTAAAAGTATACTGTATATTATGAGTCCAGTGGGGCCAATGGTGCAGATTGACAGCCTCACTTCTATCAGTTTGCCCCAGGGCAGCTTTGGACCTGAGTGGACTATAATTCCATTTTGTCAGGAGTGATTCATCTGGACCACGTTTCTTTGATAAGAGTCCAAATATTTTGCCTTCAGATGAAACTGAAGCATCTGTGACTGTCAGTGTATTGTGTTACCTGACAGTAGTTCTCTCAAGTCACCTGTTTGGAATAAAAGAGCTGCACCTCAGCTGAACCCCAGTCACCTGCAGAGTCCTGAACTAAGTCCTGAGACAAGACCTGAGGCTGGTTCTGACCAGAAGTTACTTCAAATACAATACTGACTACAAAAGTAACAATTTACTCTAAACACTGCTTATGTAACGCTGTATGCAATACATAGAAACGGTTGTATCATAAAGCTGTAATTTTTTTTCGAATTTCTTATTTATGAAAGAACTATAAATGATCGGCGGAAAACCGGAAACGTAGAGTGTCCCGCGTGCGCTGTTATTGTGAAACCGGAAGTGAGCTCTGTGCTCACAGTTACACACTTGATGCAGGTCCCTCCCGACAAGTTTGTCAGAGAAACTCCCGCGGAGATTGGACCTACGGCACGAGCTGACACGAGCCGAGACACAGCGGGTCCCACCCCAACCGAACCGGCCCGACCACAGCCGGAGCAGGGGTGCCCGGGTCCTGGCCCAGACGGGGTAAGAGCACTTGGTTTGGGGCAGTTTGGGTTCGTGCGCATCTGTCACCGTGACTCCGGCTCATCACTGCTTTCTGCTGCTTTCTGCTGCTTTCTGCTGCTGTTTGATTATGTGAGCTCTGCATGGAGCTCTGTGAGACTGTGTGAGTCTGACAGGTGCCGCAGAGGGTCATAGGAGTCTACTGTCCATGTGGACCAGGTAAAGCTGGGGAACTGTCTTTTTACAGGACTAAATATCACATGGTTGTACCAAAAGACAGAGTAAAATGTTGTGAACAAATCAGACCACAGTATGCTGCCTTGATGTGACCTGAAAAGACGTTGTAATTTTTATGTTACAAGTTATCACTTGTAGCTATCCCTGTGAGAAAGCTGATTGGCTAGTTACTATGTAACTAGTAAAAATACTAGTTACATAGATTTGAGTAAATAGTTCGATCTTCTGTGTCAGGACACTCCATACCTGTATTATCTGTGTTACAACAACATGGTTCAGTGGGTACTGTATTCTTCTCACTTCACAATGTATATGTTTTAATTTCAATATGCAGCAGTTAGTAATGTTTAGTAATGTTTATTAGTCAATCACGTATCACCAGAAAGATGGACAATTAGGAGGACCAATAGTCTTGATGATCCACTCGGAAGTAGAACATCCTGCTATAGACCTTTAAGGATGCACCACTCAAATGGAATACTTTTTTATATTTTGTTACATAAAATCTAAATTGAAAGATCTAACGCTGCAACATCTCACCGTAAGTAACTGTCTTGTAGGTTTGTGTAAAGTAACAGTTAAAAGATAAAAAATAACTATCCTGGATACAGTCATCCTCCCCTACTTTCTCTTTAACAAGGCGTTCCCAGGACAGCTGATAGACGGGGTGCCTTTGATGTCGAGGAGCAACAGCTCTACTCTGAGTTCTGAGCTTTTTAAGAACGGAACTACGTCTCTTTAAACTGGTTTTGGTGGAAAGATTATAATATATGTTTGCACCAACAAAGCCACATTTAGTGAAGAAAAATGTGACAAAATAATCTTGAAATATACAGGAAGTAGAGCAGAGATACTTCATGGTTGGGGGAAGGAAAAACCGTTGCTTTTTATTGTGGTCAAATTGTGGTGAAATTACTGCTAAATTACTACCATTACTATATTTGGTCAGAGTGTTCAAGGAGAGTTGTTGCAGCCCCAGTGTGTGCATGTTTTGACTCATGAGCCTCCAGTCTGCAGTGGCTCTGTCCCAGTCTGCAGTGGCTCTGTCCCAGTCTTCAGTGGCTCTGTCCCATCCCAATCTGCAGAAGCTCTGTCCCAATCTGCAGTAGCTCTGTCCCAGTCTGCAGTGGCTCTGTCCCAGTCTTCAGTGGCTCTGTCCCAATCTGCAGAAGCTCTGTCCCAATCTGCAGTAGCTCTGTCCCAGTCTGCAGTGGCTCTGTCCCAGTCTGCAGTGGCTCTGTCCCAGTCTGCAGAAGCTCTGTCCCAATCTGCAGTAGCTCTGTCCCAGTCTGCAGTGGCTCTGTCCCAGTCTTCAGTGGCTCTGTCCAAATCTGCAGAAGCTCTGTCCCAATCTGCAGTAGCTCTGTCCCAGTCTGCAGTGGCTCTGTCCCAGTCTGCAGTGGCTCTGTCCCAGTCTGCAGTGGCTCTGTCCCAGTCTGCAGGGGCTCTGTCCCAGTCTGCAGAAGCTCTGTCCCAATCTGCAGTAGCTCTGTCCCAGTCTGCAGTGGCTCTGTCCCAGTCTGCAGTGGCTCTGTCCCAGTCTGCAGTGGCTCTGTCCCAGTCTGCAGTAGCTCTGTCCCAGTCTGCAGTGGCTCTGTCCCAGTCTGCAGTGGCTCTGTCCCAGTCTGCAGTGGCTCTGTCCCAGTCTGCAGTGGCTCTGTCCCAGTCTGCAGTAGCTCTGTCCCAGTCTGCAGTAGCTCTGTCCCAGTCTGCAGTAGCTCTGTCCCAGTCTGCAGTGGCTCTGTCCCAGTCTGCAGTGGCTCTGTCCCAGTCTGCAGTGGCTCTGTCCCAGTCTGCAGTAGCTCTGTCCCAGTCTGCAGTGGCTCTGTCCCAGTCTGCAGTGGCTCTGTCCCAGTCTGCAGTGGCTCTGTCCCAGTCTTCAGTGGCTCTGTCCCAATCTGCAGTAGCTCTGTCCCAGTCTGCAGTGGCTCTGTCCCAGTCTGCAGTGGCTCTGTCCCAGTCTGCAGTGGCTCTGTCCCAGTCTGCAGTAGCTCTGTCCCAGTCTGCAGTGGCTCTGTCCCAGTCTGCAGTGGCTCTGTCCCAGTCTGCAGTGGCTCTGTCCCAGTCTGCAGTAGCTCTGTCCCAGTCTGCAGTGGCTCTGTCCCAGTCTGCAGTGGCTCTGTCCCAGTCTGCAGAAGCTCTGTCCCAATCTGCAGTAGCTCTGTCCCAGTCTGCAGTGGCTCTGTCCCAGTCTGCAGTGGCTCTGTCCCAGTCTGCAGTGGCTCTGTCCCAGTCTGCAGGGGCTCTGTCCCAGTCTGCAGAAGCTCTGTCCCAATCTGCAGTAGCTCTGTCCCAGTCTGCAGTGGCTCTGTCCCAGTCTGCAGTGGCTCTGTCCCAGTCTGCAGTGGCTCTGTCCCAGTCTGCAGTAGCTCTGTCCCAGTCTGCAGTGGCTCTGTCCCAGTCTGCAGTGGCTCTGTCCCAGTCTGCAGTGGCTCTGTCCCAGTCTGCAGTGGCTCTGTCCCAGTCTGCAGTAGCTCTGTCCCAGTCTGCAGTAGCTCTGTCCCAGTCTGCAGTAGCTCTGTCCCAGTCTGCAGTGGCTCTGTCCCAGTCTGCAGTGGCTCTGTCCCAGTCTGCAGTGGCTCTGTCCCAGTCTGCAGTAGCTCTGTCCCAGTCTGCAGTGGCTCTGTCCCAGTCTGCAGTGGCTCTGTCCCAGTCTGCAGTGGCTCTGTCCCAGTCTGCAGCTCCTTAGGACAGTCCTGTCTGTGGTGAGGTGTGGCCCTCAGCTCCAGGGCCCTGGACTCTTGTCTAAACTCTGCGGTCCAGAGAAACACGTTTATTGTTGTGGACGCGGACAGGAAGTGGGGTTTCCTCTGGACAGGAAGTGGACGCCCTCACACATACACATGCACGCGCACCTCCACACACATACACATACACATACCGAACCAAGACTTCAGACCTGGTTCAGTCCAGTTTTTATTTACCTGGTTCAGACTTGGGTCAGACCTGGTTTAGTCCATACATGGTTTAGTCCATACATGGTTCAGACTATACCTGGTTCAGACTATACCTGGTTCAGACTATACCTGGTTCAGACTATACCTGGTTCAGACTATACCTGGTTCAGACTATACCTGGTTCAGACTATACCTGGTTCAGACTATACCTGGTTCAGACCTGGTTCAGACCTGGTTCAGACCTGGTTCAGACCTGGTTCAGACCTGGTTCAGACCTGGTTCATACCTGGTTCATACCTGGTTCATACCTGGTTCATACCTGGTTCATACCTGGTTCATACCTGGTTCATACCTGGTTCATACCTGGTTCATACCTGGTTCATACCTGGTTCATACCTGGTTCATACCTGGTTCATACCTGGTTCAGACCTGGTTCAGACCTGGTTCAGACCGTGAAGCAAAGTATCCATATTGTGACTAACATTTTAACATAATCCTTGAACTACTTCAATGATATTTTAAAGAATTGTGATAATTTCTTTCAATTTATACAAAATAAAGCATATAGATATAGAACACGTGCAACATTCCAATTCACTCAGTGCTGTGGTTGTAAGAAGGGACAATGCATGGAACACCATTTGACTGGAGCAAATCTTCACTTTTAAATGGCATTAAACCTCTCATATCTTCAGTCTTGGTCTGATGATTCGATTTAGTCCGAAAATTGGAGTTCCTGATCCTCGCTGATTTAGTGTGGATGGAGCTAAAAACAACTCCAAGTCTGTTTTTGATAAAGGAACAAAACAGGTTTTAAAAAGACAATGTTTCATCTTTTGTCTGGATTTGACCTTGTAAAAGCAACATTCTGTGAACAAATCTGCCCTCACAACCCTCTGCTAGAAAACATGTTGGTTTTTTTGCATACTGAAGAAAAAGTTTCCCGTGATACTCATACTTTAAGATAGATACATAGACACTTTATTGATCCCCGTAGCAGAAGTTCAGGTAAAAATGAAATTGATCATTTTAAAAATCTAATAATAGTATTAATCACCCACAGGCCTTCAGGTCACAGCAGCAGAGATGAAGTAGCCTCTGGGTGGAGCAGGACAGGTCACATGGTGGAGTAGCCGCTTGGTTTGGACCATTTTCTCTGCTCTTGTCCAAAGTAAAATGCAGAATGCTTCATTGGCATTTTTCAAAAAGTTAGCATTCCTCCAATGGATTTTTGTCTGATCCGCTCGTTTCGGACCATGAATCCTCTCTGCTCCAGTCTGGACCAGTGTAAAACCATGAACACTGTACTGTAGCTACATCTCAGGCAGAAAAAGCAAGAAAATAAAAATTCTGTTTCAGAGATATTTAGGACTTGCAGCCGTTTTCCAGCGCATTCAAAAGAAGCAGTATATAAAGATGTGGCCAAAAGGGGTTCTGCACTCTCCCTGACTCAGGTTGCCAGATATGCAGACGAATCCATCTGGGACAATAATATCTGATTAAAGAGTTTTGTCAACAAAAATATATAATCAACACCTTTTTCTCAAAGATACACCTTTTTTATTTCTGCGGCCACATATCACAGACTTTCTGATTGGTAAAACGATGGAGGGTGGGACATCGAAATGAAAACAATAACAAGATTTAGGGGCTGTAAAACTTATTTTGAAATTCAAATATCTCTGAACTACTGTTTTTAGTTAAAGAAGAATTTGAAACAACTTTGGTTTGTTAATGTCTTTTGACAGATTAGGGCCATTTAATGATTACTTGACATGAAAATCCTACATATTTCCACTTTAAACTGCATACTTTTCCTCATGCATTTGTTCGTTCCGGTGCTCCTGCTTTGGCCTGGTGCCTCTGGGGCTGTGGAGTTGTGATGTTTCTGTGCATGGTGAGACTGTGTGCGGCTATTGTGTGTAACAGAAGAGCTTTGTACTGCGCCCACACAATGGGACAGGGAGCAGGGACAGGCCCAGCTCTAGCCCTGCTTTACATTAGGGCTGCAAGAGAAGTCATATAGGCCTGTCACGATAACAAATTTTGCTGGACGATTAATTGTCTCAGAAATTATTGCGATAAGCGATTATATTGTCGTTCTGAGATCATTTGCATCGATTACAATGATCATGCAGGTACACCTTTTCAAAGAGAAATAAACTTTTATTTTTAACGAATATTTAACGCTAGAACACAATAAATTTACAAACAACCAAAAACAATAAATAAAATACTCAGTCTCTTAACAAAAAATGACCAGGAATAAAACTGCCAGGACCTTTGTAAAGAAAATATGAAACAGATGCTCAAATGTCAATAATTTCTCAGACTTTATGGCAGATTACGAGAAAGAAATACCAACATGTTGACTTTGTGTGGTTTAAGACAGGATCTCTCAGGAGTAGTCCCACCTCCCCACACACCAGGCAAATGACAAGTGACTGACATGTGGGTTCACCAATGGGGCGTACAGAAGTCCTGCTGCGGTAGCGCCCACCGGAAGTAGCGGGGCGGGCTTTGATGCTAACAGCTAAGCTAGCGGGTTTTTTGTGTAAAGTTCTACTCCAAGAATGCAAGTCTGCAGCATCTCTGTGTTCAGAGACCTTCTAGAGACTTTATATAACAGCAGTATGTGTTCACGGAGGTGCGCCATAAGTTTATTTTATTGGTATGGTACGGTACTTCTGCATCGGCGAACACGCTAACGCTAGCTGCGCTAGTATAGTCACTAATCAAGCCTGAATGAGAACTCAGCTGCCGGCATATGTTCACAACTACTGTGTCCCCCATTGTCAATCCTGGTTAAGTCCTGGTTTAGGTCCTGTTTTGGCTGTATTTTGTATTTTTGAGTAATTTCCGTCTGCTTGCTAGACCGCTAATGTTCCCGTGACCACTTTGCGGCTCTCTGACCCGAGAGAGAGGGGGAGAGAGACGGGGAAAACAAACAAGCATGCAAATGGATTTATCGCGGCCAGAAAAGTTATTGAGCAAATTTTATTTATCGTGCGATTAATTGATTTATTGACTATCGCGACAGGCCTAAAGTCATACTCAAAGAGAAAGGATCATTTTCAGGGAATTAACATTTGTAGCAGGTGTAATTCCAAACAGAGGAATTGTGCACACCAATAGTTGCTTCCTGATCTACGGAACATGCACTATGGGCCTCATTTATCAATCCAGGTGCTAAACGGCCTGTCTCCTTGTTACAGGCATGGATGAGTGTGTCTAGTTGGATGAAATCTGTAAAGGTGGGGTGTACTCTTGTGGCTAGTTGTGGGCGTTTTGCATGCCATTCACCATCGGTCATCAAGTGCAAGTGTTATTTCTGCCTAAAAGTCACATGTAAATGAGACGACAGTGAGTGCAAAAACGATGCACTTGTAGTCGAGATGGGGGATGGTTGTAACAAAGGGTTGGTTGTATCTCGGGATGTAACAATTCTCAATATTAGATCGAAATGTATTCCCCATGCAGACCGTGGAAGCAGCGCGAGTTAGCTGTTGTTGTGTTAATAGCAATAGTTAGCTTGTCAGTCAAACAGAGAAACTGACCCAGTAAATAAAGCAAAGCAGAGACACAGATGCACAGAGCGTCAGCCGCTGGTCAGGCAAGACACTTCACCCCCATTGCCTAGAATGAGTCTGGTGTGTGAATGGTTGGTGGTGGTCGGAGGGGCTGATGGCACATACTGGTTGCCTCGCTTCTGTCAGTGTGTCCCAGGACAACTGTGGCTGCAGTAGTAGTTTATCACCACCGTGTAAAGAATAATGACATGTAAAGCGTCTGAGTGTCAAACTGTATAAAACTGATGCATTATACAATAAAAGATTTGCTAAGCTTGTGTCATCTCATCAGCTGTTTCTGCAGAAAGTAAATCTGCTCTTGCTTTGAGACAAAAACTCGATTTTAATGAAACTGAATGACCATGTTTTTATTTAGACATGGAGGGCACAAGGAGATACAAGGACACTGATTGCAAACTTTATCTTTGCCTTTTTCTTTCGATACATTTCCTGTGTTTGTATCATGTCTCTGTTCTTCTGCTGTTAAAGCTGGAGTGTTTTAGCTGTTGTAAAACCACTAATGTGATTCAGATATGATTCGTATAAAAGCAGCTCACAGAGGAGCGCCTAAGCTTTCTGAGTTTGGGGGCAAAAAACGACATTGTATTGACTGTGTTGAGGCCTTGATAACAGTGCACTAAATGGCAGATTAAGCACTGCACTTATAGTGGAATTCTACATACAAGTTCATTTTCAGCACATGAATGAAATCAGCGCATCAAATCGTGACTTAAAGAAATTGTGACATCTATAGTTGTGGCACTCTCAGTTTAACCGATTACAAACGAGCGGTGGTGATGTGATCAATACAGTTCAGGCCCGATGTTTCTGAGTGGAATAGTGTCTATTGTGTTCTAGATACAGCTGTTAGCACTTATATAAGCTCAAGCAGTACTTCTTTCTATATAGTTTCATTTGATGTGCTGCATTGGAGTTCGCTTTGAAGCTATAGTATAAAAATAGTTCACTCTTAAGGGTCGACTGGCATATTACACTGGAAAATTCCCTTTGGAAATGTACTGTGTGTGGAAGTCAGGAACATTTCTATGGGAACAAGGTCCTGGTCCACCTTCAGACAAGTACGGGTCAAGTCTGCGGACATGTTTTTCTATATTTATTTATGCCATAAAACATTCTAATTGATACGTTCTACAGCTATGGTCAGAATTCACTTGTAATAAACGCAATATTAAACAGAAAGGATGACTACTAAAGGTATTTAGGAGGATTTTCTACGTCCGGGTGGATCATCAAGACTACTGGTCCTCCCAATTGTCAATCATTCTGGTGGAACATGCTCGACCAGAGTTTTGTTAAAAACGTGAAGAGGTCGGTTCTTTCCTAAACTTTGGGAAAATCCTCATTTCCTCACCTTTTAAGAGACAAAGACTAAAAGTGGAGCAATCTGTGAGAACAAGGAAACAGTTTAGTACTTAAAGGTTAATTGGGAATTATTTTCCAAATTTCACAATCACATATGGCCAATTCAAATGATATCTCACATTATTTGAAAAAGAAGGGTCAAAGTAGGATATTATTTGTGTTTTAATTAAACATTAATACGTTATAGTATTCTATTATCACAGATGGAGCGGAGAACAACTCCAGGGTTTATGTCTGTTTTGTGCTGGATTAGGATTGGGTTTTCCCAGGTTTAGTCCTGAAAAAGAATTGTTAGCTGTGAACTGCTGTCACCTCAGTATGGTTCTGAGGAAAACTGGATCCAAGATCAGGTTCACACTCCCGCCTGGTCTATGTGCGGTCACGTGATTCGGGAGGAAGCAGGAAGTGACCGTTACCATGGAGACCGTGGGCGTGAGGTCAATGGTCCACGGGGACTTTGAACAAAGATGGCTCTGTCTCAGAACAGTTCACACCTGACACTGGGGCTGTGAAACCGGGTTTTCAGAGGGAACCTGCAGGACTAAAGCAGGACTAAAGCAGGACTAAAGCAGGACTAAAGCAGGACTAAAGCAGGACTAAAGCAGGACTAAAGCAGGTCTAAAGCAGGTCTAAAGCAGGTCTAAAGCAGGTCTAAAGCAGGTCTAAAGCAGGTCTAAAGCAGGTCTAAAGCAGGTCTAAAGCAGGACGAAAGCAGGACGAAAGCAGGTCTAAAGCAGGACGAAAGCAGGTCTAAAGCAGGACGAAAGCAGGTCTAAAGTCTAATCAGGTGTAAAGCAGATCTAAGCATCTAAAGCTGGCCTAAAACAGCACTAAAAGCCTGGACTGAAAGCAGTCTAAAAGTGATCTGAGCAGGTCCTGTGGGTCTGTTGCAGATGGTTACAGAGGATGAGCTTAATAAATGAACAGGAACAAAGCCATAAATATGTGAGGTTGGGGGTCACAGACACAGGAAGTGAGTCAGGCCTTTACTTCCTGTTTGTCCAGCAGCTGCTCCAAACCGTCGTGTGGTCAGTGGGAAACACACAAGATGGAGCTTGAAGGCAACCAGTGCAAACACAACTCCATCTTGTGTAAAATTCCAAAATTCCAACTGACCATGAGTTGATTTGATCTTCTTTTACATTACATTTCAGCACAAAGTGGTCCCCTTCCCCTCACAGAACACAAAGGTATTTGGATGAATATAACATTTTCATGGTCCTTAATAATTATATTTATACTTTTTACTTATAAGTCAAATAGGTTTTAGGTTTAGGGTTAGGGTTACAACCAGAGGGAAGACCCAACATATTTTTAGTTCTTTTTGAATAAAAAAAAAACAAAATGTGATTGCAAATAAATATATTTTCCATGAGAAATACTTTTGTTTGTTTTGTTTTGAAGGGAAGAGCACCGAGTGTGATATCATAGTGGTTCAATGACATCATACTTTTACAGGACTGAGGTGGGAGATTTTAGACGGACTGTGTTTGTCCCAGAAGTTCTGATCTGAGAGTGGGTTGGTCTAAAACCAACCCCAGGTCTGTTTTTGATGTTCTGACAAGGTCAAATCTCTAAAACGAAGCAGTCCAAGTAGACTTCTGACACCCACCTTTTCCAACTCATCTTGAGGAATCCTGAGTCTGGTTTGTGATGAGGAACGTTGTTATAATGTGGTTAAAAGTGTAAAAAATAAATCTTAATGGTGGTCGCTTTGGAACGAGAACAGTCTTTATGGTCTCAATGTACTTTGTGGCACATGAGTGACTTTATTGTTGGTGCATGGTTTCAGATGGACTGTGTTTGTCCCAGCGCTGCTCCTCAGTGATGGACTCACTCCTGCTGAGGTGTTCTACACTTCCTGTATCCTCTGGAACCTGGAGCCATGCTGGTCACCATGGATACAGCCAAGCAGAGCAGCATCAGCACCAGTGAGAGCTCCGAGCCCAGCGAGGTTGAGACGCTGCTGTCCTCCATTCACCTGGACAGGTACGAAAGTGCTACATACTTAGACTTAAAACGAGTAAGTTCTAAAAGCAGAATAAGGTTATCGGTCACACAATAGACAATACTTTGCAGAATGACAGTTAATCAAGTTGAAAGATTAAAAGTAGTATAAGGTGGCTGTTGTGAATGGCAGGGGTCAGTGAGTTATTAAGTGTTCATATAGCTTTTTCTGTCGTTTTGCCTCCAAGCTCTACAGTAAAAAAATCCTGACATTCTTCATAATTATGTGCTTTTTATTGTGCCAAAATGGTCCAAAATTAACACAAAAAATTCATACTAATGTGTAATGGTTCCATAACTTCGGCCATCTCTCCTGCAGATATGTGGACATCTTCGTCAAAGCTGGTCTGCTCTGCGCCCCAGACTTGCTCTACTTGGACCAGGACTCTCTGCTCAGTTTGGGAATCACCGCCACGGGACACCGCAAACGGATCCTGCGCCTTCTTGCCCAACTGCCCCGCACTCCTTCCTCTCAGCGGGCCAATCAGAGTTCCACCTCAGATCCTGGGAAGCTAAAACCTGTCCCCAAACCTCGCACAGTGTTCAATCGCCGCAGAACCACGCCTGTACACTTCTCCCCCTCCTCACATGACCCGCAACGACCAATCAGAAGGCTGTCCCCGGAGTCTCTCAGCTTAGACTCGGAAAATCTACCCGGCAACAGCGATGCCACTTGCACTTCTACGACACCAGACCACAAACCCATCAGTAGGCTTTCCCCGCAATCTCTCAGTCTAGATTTGAAAAATGTGCAGGGCAACAGTGGCGTGAAAGCGTCCAATCACAGGAATCGATCTATGTCGGACGCGAGCGCCTTTGTCCCACCCGTGCCTCCGCGGATACGTCGTAGTTTTGCTGTTTTTTCCGCTCCTACCGTGAAAGAAAACGCGCTCGATGATGCGAACGTCAGCGTGAGCACAGCGGATATCCTCCAGTCTGCTGTGAGTCGTGCGGAGAATAAGACAAAAGCGAGTCGGAGCAGGTCGCTAACGGACGTACTGCCACCGATTCCGCCTCGGCAAAGCAGGAGTACGAAGATGCAGGAAGAGGAAGAGGATTGGACCGAGGCCAGAAGCTCGGTAGAAATGGTGTCAAATGACATCTACTGGGGGTCGACACTGAGTGGGAGGGGCTACAGTCTGCAGGCCCCGCCCACTCCACCCAGACTACCCACGGACAGGAGCTATGAGCGGAACAGGTATGGGACGTTTGCTGCGGACTCTGTATTGTCACTGTTCGTTGCAGTACTGCTATTTAGCTATTTTTCTAGATTAGGATTAAGAGAGCCTTTATTCGTACCACAGTGGGGAAATTTCAGTGTTGCATCACCAATTTTAGAACAGTTGGAATGAGGATCACACAGCACAAGATACGTGAACAACACTATACTTAAAAAAACTAACTTTAGCATAATTATAAAGCAAGTATAAAATCCATAACTTTAGCATGATAAAGAAAATTACTGTATTCTCTAGAAATATATAGTATAGCAGCATGAGGGTATGGGACAAAGTGGCAAAGTGACAGTGGACACATGTGGTTTCATATTGCACATTCTGACAATATTTTTTATTTTTTTATCTGCGGCCTTAACCTCTTCCCAAGAGGTTCTTCTGAAAAGTTGTGCAAAAAAGAATAATAAAACCCAGTCTAAATTCTCTTCTTTAAAATAAGCCTATTGCTATCAAGTCATGATGTACAAACCGCTATAATGTTCTTATGGCCAATTAGCATATTAGTGTTAGTTCCAACCCCTTGTTTATATGTGGCATGTCTTTAAATAATAGATACATTATCATTTTTAAAATCAGTCAGCCCAGCTTTTAAAAAAATCAGCCACAGAAAATCCCAGATTGGTCGACTTCAAGTATTGTTTATTGTGGTTCAAAAGTAGCATTAGGTGTTTTGCATTTAGCAAAATTTGCCTTATTGACACATTAGTATTTTGTCCTGTTATGTTCACCTAAAACTTACTGTCAATTGTGTGACAAAGTGTTCATATCTAAGGGTGAGAATTGGCAAAAATGTGATGATTCAATAGTATAGTTATATTTGGACCACAATTCACTATTATTGCGAATCTTAGAGCTGCACTAACTGACTTTATTTTTGTATTCATTACGAAAATGCTATCCATGTCCATGCAGTGCATTGGGATATACGTCCTTTTGAATGTTTTTCGGTGACCAGTTTGTGACCAATCACAGCGCACCACTAGCCCCCACCTTTGTGAGAAATCTACAGGTCCGTTGTTAGCACAGACACCTGAGTTAGCACAACAAGCGGCGGAGCTAACCTGAAACTTCCTCGTCTTCGTCACCGGTTACTGCTTACACAGCGAGACAGCCATCCAAAAGAAAGTCCCGTTCCTCCGCGCTTCCCGGTTCTATCGTTCTATGGTCACGCCATCCACGTGCAAATCCATATCCATGGATCTATCCATATTGGGAGACGCTAGCTCCGTCAACAACAGTGGGTGTGCGGTAGCGGGGGGCAATAGCTTCGTGGGTGCGGGGAGGGGAGCAGAAAGAGTGAGGCCAGCGAGTCCGTTGCTTCAAAATCCCAAAGTCAGTTAGTGCAGCTTTAACATAATGTGATACAGCAAGTATTGCAATTTGATTCTTCAATATATTTTGCGATCCATGTCCCTTTATTCATGAATGGCAACATGAGGGACATGAATTTGAAAAAATGAGGAAATTAAGACTGCTCAACTCAAACATTTATTATGGTCTGCACAACTTTGAAGTTTTTGCACGCCCCTTGAACATTCAGGACACAGGACCTTATTACAAGACAAAATTCTCTCACATGAATGGTGATCTTCCAGTACATAGATGAAATTATTCAAATACAAAAGACTAGAACAGTGTTCCCCAACTAAATTGGCAAGTGATCCACCAACTTTAGCAGCTCAGTAGACTAATAATAATAATGCATCGGTTTTATATAGCGCTTTTTTGGACACTCAAAGACTCTTTACATGTCATTATTCATTCACTCCATACACAGTGGTGATAAACTACTACTACTGTAGCCACAGCTGCCCTGGGGCACACTGACAGAAGCGAGGCAACTAGTATGTGCCATTGGCCACTCCGATCACCACCAACCATTCACGCACACACTAGACTCATTCTACTAGGACTAGGGTCCGGACATCATACAACTTGATTAAAAAAAGGTTTTGTGAGGTGGTTGAATCAACAACAACTCAAAAGAGTGTAGTACACAATACATAATCATAATTGTTAATACTTACTATATTTCAAATCTTGTGAGAAACATGTTCGGAAACAAAGTCAAAAATAAGTTGAAGAAATAAACCAGATTGTTTGCCAGATCGTCAGTTGCCTTGGTCACAGTGGCCATGGCAACCGTTGCTATGGCAATCAATATTGCAAGTCATGGTACCAGATGGTTGATGGTGATTGTTCCCATAGTGATTTTTGTCATGGTAGCACTTTTGATAGTGATGGTTGCCAGGATTACCATTGTGATTGCCATAGCAACGGTTGCTATGGTCGCTATATACATAACAATGGTTGCCAAAGTAACTATTGCCAGAGCAACGGTTGCCATGGTAACTATAGCATAGCAACGGTTGTCTTGGTGACCATTGGCATGGTATCCATCACTATGACAACCCTTACTATAGCAACCATTTCTATGGCAATCTTTTGGCAACTACCCTGGCAACCCTCACAATGGAAACTGGAAACAAACTCCCCCAAAAGAAATGGCAAGAAATATGTATTAAAACAAAAATCACCAGATTGTCTGGCTGTTGTCATGGTTCCAGTAGCAATAGGGATTGTTCCCATAATGATTTTGCCATGGTAACCGTTGTCTTTGTGATTGCCATAGCAACGGTAGCCATGGTGACTATTCCTCTAGCAATGATTGTCATGATTACCATTGCCAAAGCAATGGTATTCATGGCAATCATTACTTGCTTACATAGCAACGGTTGCCATGGTTTCTGTTGCCATAGCAACGGTTGCCATGGTGTCTGTTGCCATAACAACGGTTGCCATGGTGTCTGTTGCCATAGCAATATTTGCCAAGGTGTCTTTTGCCATAGCAACAATTGCCATGGTGACTATTTCCATAGCAACGGTTGCCACTGTGACTATTGCCATGGAAACAGTTGCCATATTGATTGCTATAGCAATTGTTGCCATAGTGATTGTCATAGCAACAGTGGCCATGGGAACTGTTGCATTACATTCATGCTGTTGCCATCCATGCTGACCGCTGTCATGGTTATGATGGTTTTCTGGCTCAATTTATGTGCTATTTGCTCGCAATATTTTGGCACTCCCAAAATCGTTTTTGATAAAAAATTACATTACAAATTACATATTCTTGTAACTATGTACTTTTAAAAACAAAAAAGTGGACTAGAGTATCAAAAAGCAGACATAATAGAGTCAAATTCTGAGAACATGAGAGTGGAACAGATTATTTTATTACATATCAAAATACTTACATACTAAGTAATACTTACATACTACAAAATACTTACATACTACAGATCCCAATCTTTCAATATCAGCTAATACCAATTATGGAGACGTGAAGGACCATAACATTGGTTTACCCTCCCCTTCAAAACCACTTATACGTATTACAAAATGTGTTGATTTGTGTTTGGATTTGTTATTATTCTTGGAAGTAACTACAGATTACTAGAAGCTATCTACCAATTTTGCATTGTAATACTTTTAACTTAACACATTTTCTTCGATCAGCACCAACATTCAATACCGGAATTTGTATTGATGCCTACTGCATAGAAAATGTATATATTTTTGAGTGAGTTGGCATAAAACCCCATAGAGAAGAAACAGGAAGTACACCAAAGTGTGCTACAGTAGAAGTACTGTGAGCTTTGAACACTTTGTACTGAGGTAACAATGTCTGTTTCATCTGTTTGGTTTTACAGCAGCAGCACTTTGAGCAACAATTCGTCTTCATCAACTAGAGGTCAGTGCAAAGTGCATCTGAACTGGGATAATCGTTTTTTTTACTTTGCAGGCTTTAACTTTTTAACAGGCTTTGCAAGGACATTTCACTGTGTGTTCCTTTGATGACTTACCATGTCTAATCAAATTTTAAGAGTTTTAAATCTTGAATTAACAAGTTGTTTTGGAGTTCATGCGTGTTTGAGCAATGAATTATTTTCACAACTTTTACAGTGCCTCATTTCCTCCATGAGTACAGCCCACTCTTATTTAATCTATCTATTAAAAAAGTAAATAATAATTTTGATTGGATCAAAAATACACATGCACTGAAACAGTTTTCAGCTGAGTGTGAAGCAGCTGGAATGAAAATCATCACCTCCCATCTTGAGGCTATGGTTCTAGACCAGAGAATGGTGCCGGTCCCCCCCAGATGCCTCTTGAGGAAGGACCTCTAGTCTCCCAGGTCTTCTTCTCAGTGAGGGAAGGATGGGGAGTTAGATTGACAGACGATCAGTGTAGCATCTGCAGTGAGGAGTCTGCTGTATGGGACAGTTGAGGTTCAGAGGAGAATGCATCTGTAGTCAAAGCTCTGGATTTGCCGCTCAGTCGTTATCCTGCCTACCTTTGGCGAAGGACCAAAAAGACTGTTTGTGGTGCAGATGAATTTCGTCTGCAGAGTGGCTGGGCTCCCTCGGAGATTGGGTGAGCCCTTGATAAAGCCAAAGAAATGTAATGAATGGATACATTAATAAAAAAAAAATCTGCTCTGTACCAACATTTGTACACTATATAGCTCTTGTAACTGTGACTCTGAAAGTGCTATAAAGTGCTGATAAACTCAGGATGTCAGGATTGTGAGAATGACTTGAAGCAAGACTAAACATGTGTGTGGGTTTGTCTGTGTGTCTACAGCTTCTACAGATGACCCAGAGGAGGAGATTAGCCCATACTGTGAGACTGTGTTCTCTAGGAGGACCCCACTTCCTGAGGTCATAAAATACACACACACCCATACACGCACACACACACACATGCATCCCCCCACACACACAGACACACAAACACGCCTGATGTTGGACATGTTGTTGTACTTTCAGATGGACAGGAGCAGAGAGCACACACCTTCTCCACACATTGACCAAGAGAGGTAAACACGAGTCTGTGACAATTACTACAATTATTTTCTTCAAATTCTGGCTTTGTATAGAGATGTCATGAGTATTCACATCTTTGTCTATGAACGGATCCGACAGATAGAGGGAGAGAAGGACCTAAAGTTGTGTGCACTACTCTGATCATTTCAGATTGTAGCTTGGGAATCCCCATGCTCCTTTGTGCTTGAATAATTTTGAATGGCACAACAGCCTGGAAACTCTGGCCAAATTTTTTGCATGAGTTTGTAACAATAACAGAATGGGGATGGATGGATGGCAAGACAATGATGACACACTATTGGACAGACGGAAGTTTGTAGTTTGTTTTTATAGATCTCACAGATGGCAGATAGATCGATCTTCACGTTCAAATGCAGCAGAAACTGTTCGGCACCAATTTCCTGCATACTTCTGCCGTTTGCCATGCGTTATTGGTTTGATTTGTTACAATTTGGTGCCTAAGTGCAAAAGTATATTATAGACATTCTATGGTTCATGTACGTGTCCTTAGTCCTCAGAGTCTTTGGCTGAAGCGTCTCTCGCCGTCACACGAGGCCCCACCCCCTCACGAGACCCCGCCCCCTCCGCTCGACGATGACTTCATCTCTCCGTACGCCAGCTACACGTCTCTGAACGAGAAAGCTCCACCTGTCATCAGCGGCTGGCTCGACAAGCTGTCTCCACAAGGGTGAATACTGATACTACTACTGCTACTGCTACTGCTATTGCTTCTATTACTGCCACTACTCCTGATACTACTACAACTACTACTACTTCTGCTGCTTCTACTTCACACTATACACTATACAATACATGTCTCTGAATGACAAGGCTCCACTTTTAGCTCTCTCCCAGTCTCTCCAAATAAACTCAATTCAATTCAATGTATTTTTGCGTCATCTTAGAGAATGTTACAAAAAAAACTGCTCTATTCATGATGCTATAGTTTGTAACGCGGATGATAAACGACATCTTCAGTTTCAATTCCATTCAATTTATTCTTGAACCATAACAAAAACCCGGATCACGGACTTTCTGATTGGTAAAACGGTGGAGGGCAAGACATCGAAATGAAAACAATAACACGATTGAGGCTATAAATCCGATTTACAGATTCGAATATCTCTGGTGAACTACTGTGATCAGTTAAAGAAGTATTGGAAAAGAACATGGTTTATTAATGCCTTTTGACACATTAGGGCCATTTAATGATGACTTAACATGAAAATCTTTGAATACATACTACCCAAGGTCAGTTCTTTGCTTACCATTTCTGAACTTGGTGATGGATGGATGGATACCCTCCAAAAAGAACGTATTTGGATTGTCTAATATAGGCTACTCAATCCGGGCATTCTGTTTACAGTTTTTGGAGAACTATTTAACATACATGTAGTTTAATATACTATCTATGTGTGCTGTACGTGGTAACTCAGCTGCTGCCGCTCACACAGCCGCTCACTGTGACCTTTTCTCAAGGATCAAGAGCACATGAGAAAGTGAGTGACAGGATGCACATCTTACACTTTCAAACTTTTTAGTGCGTTCCTTTAGAGTCACGTGAGGAACCCATCTGGCCTTTGTATCCACCGGTAGATCATGATTGACGTATTGGGCATCTGTGATTCAGACAGAGGACTGAGGGACCTGTGTGGGCCAGAAATGTCTGATTTTAGTGTGTATTTTTACAGCTTGTGAAGCATGTTTGTGGCGTGTTTGCAGGGACCAGAAGCCGTGGCTGAGGCTCCTTCTGGACCTGTTTTCCTTCTCTCCACACTGTGTCTCGTTCTCTTCTGCTGCCTCCTACTGCCTGCTGTCCTTCTGCTCCTCTTCAGCCCATCGGTCTGTCTGCTTCATCCTCCTTTCCCTTGTGTGTCTGACTGTCTTCTAGGGCTGTGCTATTGCCATTGTATTTATTCATTTTCACAAAGAGAGATAAAAATATATAGAATTTTAGGACCTATTATATATTTCCTTCCCAATGATAATACTTGGAAATTATGTGTTTTGTATTCCACACAAAGTCCTAAGTTTAAAACCTGTACAGCATGCTGGTGAAAAAAGCCCTAAAAAAAGCTAATAATTGTGGCAACGAGGACATCTTGCTTAGTCGCCTCTGCTTCCACAACGGCTGCGATTACACATGCATTTTTTACCTGAATAATACATCAATTAAGAACAAATAAATAATACTTTTTATGACTTTGTGGTAGCTTGTTCCCGCTACCACAGGGCCCTCATCCCCACTGCTGTCAGACTGTACAATAAGTCACTTGCTCTAGAACTGCATCCTTCACTGCTGTAGTCACTTTATACATAAAATACCTTTATTGCACGTAAGAAACACTATTTCTTTTAACTTTTTAACATGTTTATACATTTCCTGTCTTTTGCTCCCCCTGAGTGATTCTATTGATGCTAAAAGTAACATGTACTGTAACTTTCTCCACTATGATATCAATAGTATAATATAAAAGTTGTATATTATCTTAACTTGTTATGCCCCTTGAAGCGAAATCATTAGTAGAAAAACGTAATGAAACTTTTATGCGTGACACACAGTCAATAATTACACCGTTAAAGTGATTCATTATTGCCTATTTTTCAGGAACTATGTTTTCCAGAAGCGTTTCATCAAGTTTGACGGCCAGAACCTGATGTACTTCGGCCATGAGAAGGTACTACTCCTCCCTCAGAAGCTGTCGCAGAGTTAGTTATGGTCAGCTGATACTTGGGCCTCAGCCACCGAGCTCCTACTGCTACTAACCTCAACTATTTACATGATATAGGATGTGACAATAGTTCCAAAGTAGAGAATATGAGGGTAAACATGTATAAAGGATTAAAGAGATCCAAGTATGAAAGTCCTACCACCAGAAGAAGTTGATTTTATTTTGCTTGTCTTATGCCTTACATAAATGATTGCACTGAGATCTGGGGAAACGCCTACAGCAGCATCCAAAAGCAATTTTAATTTTTCACAAAGTGGTTTTCAGAGAACATACCACCCACTGTTTCTAAAAGATCAAATATCAAAACCTGAAGATTATCAATAGTGATTTTAATTGTGTAATAAAGTCTAAAAATAATCGGCTCCCGTAAAACTTTCAAACAAGATGTGAAGATAGAGAAGGAAGTTATTACCTGAGAGGACAGTTTAGTAAGTAAGTAAGTAAGTAAGTAAGTAATCTTTATTTATATACCGCCTTTCACAAACCAGAGTCACAAAGCGGTTTACAATTGTTATTATTTTTGGGCATTTGTCCACTCACTCCACACAGAGATGGGAGCGGGGTCGCCAGTACAGGAGGCGCATGCCAGACCTATTGTGCATGTTTTTAGAGTTTAAACTAAGTACAGCATGTTCATGACCTTGAAAAGTCAATGCATTTATAGAAAAGGTGTGACTCTGTGGAACAAGCTCCGTGACACCATCAAAAGTGCTACGAGCCTTCACAAATTACAACAACTGTACAAATTAAGAACCTTCATGAAATATGCGAATGAAATGTGCCCAGAAGGAACTTATTAATGATAGGTAGTTTACCAAAGGCCGTAATCTGCTCTGAACATTCATGTAGGGTTAGATGACAGTGTGTAGGGTTTTAAAACTGATATCACACATTACAAAGTTATTTGCTTTTTGTGGACCAAACTCAATCTTTTGATTAATACTCGATAATAGTTTTATTTTCTGGATAATAACATGTCATGAATGTCGTTTATTTACTAATTAATTGTTTCATTTATAAATTAACTCATTTAGTTAATCCGCTATAAGTCCAATTCCTTCTTAATGAAGGTGGTATATTGTACCTGAGATGGGCATTGTCTTCTCTGAGTGAGGCCTACGTCTTCTGAGGGAGTTCAAGCTGCTTCAAGTTTAGTTTTGTGGAGGGAGCCAATTAATAACAACACTCCAAGATTACATTCTGCTTGGTTTAGATAAAAATCCAACATGGCATGTTCTAATTGAAGGCACAAGTATGTCTTTTGACTCAAGAAATTCACAACGTTCTTGGCTAAAAGCTCACAAAATAACACTCAATTGTCTTAATTAGTATTTAGTATTTGAGAGGACTTTATAAAGCTCACAGTAAATTGAAAGCCTTTGATATGTTTTATTAGATCTGTTACTTCTACTACGAATCATTGGCTGAGTGTGTTTCCCCTGTCCACCTTTCTGATAGGACGCCTACCCCAAAGGAGTGATCCCATTGGCTGTGATCCAGATGGCACGCCCCTCTAAAGACAATAAGTTTGAGATTGTGACCAGCAACAGGATCTTTGTGTTCAGAGCAGACAACGAAGGTATGCTCTCCTGTCGTGCTTAACAGGACCATTCTTATATATTTAAGTAAATTAAAGCTCTCTCTATCTATCTAATAAAAGAGACCAGTCACTGCACATCTGTATTGAGTCTAGGGGTGGGAACCTAAGGGTACCTCACGATACGATACGATACACAGCTCACGATAACGATAATATCACGATAACGATATTACGATAACGATTTTATGACGATTATTGATATATTGGTCAGAAATATACAATATGCCAATTTTTGGCATAAATAAAAGAAAAAATACTCTTTATTTTATTATAAATAGAATGGAGATACTTAATATATGGCTACATTACGCATTGATACCAATTTGAAAAAAAAATTGTAAAAAAAAATAAACATTTTTTTTGAAAAATCGATATTTATTTATTTATTTGGACATTTATTTAAAGAGGAATAACCCCATGAGATGCATCATCTCGTTTTCGTGGGGATATATCGTCACACATCTGTATTGAGTCCCAGTTTTGCTGCGTCCAATGTATGCAATGTCTACATTAAGCAGCTATATATTTTTTTCCTTTAAGTAAATATGCCTGTGCCAGAAAGTTTTAATCTTATTAGTTACTGAGTTTGACTGAAGGTGGTCCGCTGTTTTTCTCTGATCTGATTTCTCTGAAAGATGATGCATGAAAATGTAAAAACAATAATTTTGTCTTGTTTGTTTATTGCTAAGAAGATTCTTTTAATAAAACAAATGTAAAAAAGCTTCAAGCTAGTAATTAAGCAGCTTACATTTTTGTCTTATTAAAAGAACCTTCTAAACATGCAAGAGCCAGGAACTAGATGGACGGATTTTTTTTTCCAGATTTTGATTTTGACATGTTGCAACCTTATCCCAGATTTAAGTGGCTGCAGCTTTGAACCCGGAAGTGAGAAATGACCCTTTCTCCTCTCTCACCTCCTCTCCTCCCTTCTCTTCTCTGACCTTTTCTTATCCCCTCTATCCTTCTCTCCTTTCTTCCTTCTCTTCTCTCTCCTCTCTCTCTTTGTGCTGTGATCAGTGGTCAGGGCTCGTTGGGTGCGTACTCTTCAAGACTTTATCCGGGAGCAGTTGGTGTTCGTGCGCCGCAGGTTTGGACCAGGACTGCACTGTCAGAAACATGGAGTCCTGGAGACCAAGGGCCACAAAGCCAAGGTCTACATGGCCATCTATGGAGACCAGATCTGGATCCACAAGAACCAGCAGGTGAGCCCAGGAGTGTTGCTCAGGCAGTTAAAATGAGAAAATTTAAAACTTATAAAAAATACCAAAAAATGCTATAAAAAAATAAACCATGAATTCACCACATACAGACACATAGCTGTATGTTGTGGAGTCAAAGTGTGCTTTGAATGGATTGAAAGAAAACAGAGCTTCTGACATCCAGGGGGAGTGCATTCCAGTTTTCCACTGAGCTCGGTCACCTCTTTTATATAGAAGAACATCTCCATGGAAACAAGCAGGAGGAGGCCCTTCTCCAGGACAAGTACAAGTCACGTTTATGGAGATACAAGCCCACTCACCGTTTCAGTCTATTTAGCAAATTGATACGCCTGACCTGCTCTCACTGAAACAAATTTAGACAGATTTACAAAGAATATCTGATATATATATATATCATTTTGTACAACCAAAATCACCCATGAAAAATGTGAGAAAAAATAGATGTTTTTATTTAGTGTATTTACCATAGCAATTACATACATACCGTCACAAAGTCACTTTGAATATTCAATCATTTTGTGTTACTTCTTTCAGTTTTCCTCTGCTCTGGGGTCACAGTTTGAGAACTCTCCAGATATGTGTACATTATAATCAATCTGTGTTTCCCAGTGTTTCCGTAATGGCATCGCTGTGACAGTGATTGAGGCGCGAGGGTCCACCATCCGGGACGGCAAACACAAGACCTTTGACCTCATCACGCCATACAAGACTTTCAGGTACACAATCTGAGTTATTGACCAATTTTTAGCCCAACCCAACATGGCCTCATAGTTTCGGTTTTATGATTGGCTCTGGCAAATATAACCTTCTTACAACAACTGAATAATTGAAACAAGACTGTGAATCATAACGAAAAAACATAATTCAAGTCTTTGACCTGGTTTTGACGACTGGTCACATTTCTCCACTGTTCGGATCTCACAGCACTAGTACTGATACTATGTTCTCTGTCCCAGCTTTGCGGCCGACTCTGAACGGGACAAGAGGGAGTGGGCCGAGGCTCTGCAGGAGGCTATCGCTGAGACCCTGTCGGATTACGAGGTGGCCGAGAAGATCTGGTCCAACAAGTCCAACCGAGTTTGTGCCGACTGCCGAGCCCTGAACCCTGACTGGGCCTCCATCAACCTGTGTGTGGTCATCTGCAAGAACTGTGCCGGTACTAATGACCCCTGTTTACTTAGTTTTTGCTATGGTAACTGCCTAATCCATGTCACTTCTGCTGCATAAGTCAATTTCAAAGTAACAATATACACTTTTCATCTTGGTGAAAAACATGGGATGGAAATACATCTTTTGACTAGAAAACTATGTGTGAGTGTTTCGAACTTGTAAAGGCTTGTTTTTACTCCACATACCAAGCACAGTGATGTCACAGCCCTACACTGAGCACTGTGATGTCACAGCCCTACACTGAGCACTGTGATGTCACAGCCCTACACTGAGCACTGTGATGTCACAGCCCTACACTGAGCATTGTGATGTCACAGCCCTACACTGAGCATTGTGATGTCACAGCCCTACACTGAGGACTGTGATGTCACAGCCCTACACTGAGCACTGTGATGTCAAAGATCTCTTCTTCCTCATTGCTGGAAATGTAGATCTTGGTATAAAGTGTGAGCACCTCTAGTATTTGCTCTTACTACAAACAAATACATCTAAACTACACATTATATTTTTAGGTTAAAGAATTGAAAGAAAAAAAGGAAAGAACTAAACAACTTAACCTTTGGAGTAAATAGTAGTTTATGCAAATGTCTACCACCAAGAAGGAAACAGACCAAAAAATAAATACAACCATATTTCTTAATCAACATAGATAAGTTCTTCAAAGCAATGAAAAACCATGGTGTTTAATGGCATAGTACATATAAATAGATAATCTTTTATGCCCTTCACAGACTCACAAGACGCTTCAAAAGATAAAAGAATAAAATACTATACAAATAAAACATTCCACCACATCCAGACACATTGTTTATTAAAAGCCTAAGCCTAAACAAGTGAGTCAAAGGGTGCTTTGAATGGATCGAAGGAAATAGAGATCCAGGGGGAGGGCATTCCACAGTTTCTGTGCCACCGACTCAAAAGCTTGGTCACTCCTTTATAAGTGGAAGAACATCTCTATGGAAACGAGCAGGAGGAGGCCCTGCTCCAGCTCAAGTTTATGGAGATACAAGCTCACTCACTGTTTCAGTAAATTACTAGTTCTGTATTTATCAACTAAAATGGTTCATGCTGTTTTGAAGTGCAGCATGATCAACATAAAAGAAAAGCAAAAAATACCAGTTCCAGGGCCTTCATTTTGTGAATTAAAAGTAATATATATTTATACTATGAAGTACTGATATCTAAAAAAGAAGAAAAAAAAACCTACTTGAGGAGAGTACTACTTTAACTTTTGTGTACTTGTTACATTCCACCAGTGGCAAAAGATAACGGGATCCCTTAGTAGAATGCAGTAGTTGCAGTGCTAGTATCAGTTGTTTAGTAGTAGCAGGAGTCCACGCCTCCTCCTCTCCTGACTGAGGAGTGTTTGAGGCGTTACAAGCCGGTCGGTTCACATTTCTCCTGAAGTGCAGAAACACTGAACAACAAAACCATCTGAACCAGAGCCAACACTGGATTAAAGGAATTCATACTGTCCACAACAAGGAATAACAGGTGCCACTATATTCTAGTACCAAATGATTGAAAGCAGAAGAAGAGCAGTTTTTTTACAAGAAAAAATGAGAGCAGATAGAAAAGCTCTTTTGACACACAGTTAGCACATATGTATCTGATGGTATGTGTGTGTGCTCTCCTCAGGTCAGCACCGCAGTCTTGGCGCCTCGGTGTCCAAAGTGCAAAGTCTCAAACTTGACACCAGTGTGTGGAGCAACCAGATCGTGCAGGTGAGCCTCCACAGCTGCAGAGGGAGACACTACAGCCTTTTCTGCAGACACTCATATTCATCTGCATACACCTGTGCTGTTTACAGCCCTCAGGCCACAACTCTGTCACAGCAGGACGTCATTGTCCTCTGGCACATTCTGAAAGGGCACTTCAGCTGAGTAGAAGTTTGTTATGTATGAATGTCATCTCAAATGTCTTCTCTGTTATACAAAACCATATAGAACTCTTGTTCTGGTCTGTAAGCAGATGAGACCGTATGCATTTGGCGAATGTCCCCAGAAATACATCTCCTTCATGATTTAGAAGTCAGTTTAGCAGACTGCATGTCATATGGAGATGTGAGTCATGTGTCCGATTGAAGGAGAGCAGTGATGTCATAATGGTTCCAGAAAGGGCCAAGCATAAAGGGCCAAGCAAGAGCACACCAGACTCCACCCATTTCCTCACATCTTCAGGTTCAAACTGGACTCACCTGAGGAAATGGATGGAGTCTGTGTGCTCCTGCTCAGGTTGGAAGTAAAACCTGCAGCCACACCGGCCCTTTCTTACCCTTTCGTATTGTGTCTAACTCAGCTTTTCATCATGCTGGGGAACGACCGCGCTAACGACTTCTGGGCAGCACGTGTTCCATCCTCCGAGGAGCTGGACTGTGACGCTGCTCCTGAGCTCCGCAGAGAGTTCATCAGCCTCAAATACAGAGAGGGCAGGTGGAGGAGCCCCCACCCTGGCTTCAGCAGCCAAGCTCACCTGCTCAAGGTAAGCCCGATCCACTGCTCATGGAGCACTTAATCTTCTTCCAAACAACAGTAAGGCATTGAATTATGTGTTCTTTTGTAATGTGAAGGAATGTTACAGAGTGTATTCTACATTGTTTGTATCTATTTAGGTCATACTGGTAATGGTCTTTAGTTTGTGCAAAGAGAAGATGTGTTTTGAAAAAGCAGTACTCATGGTGCCATCTAGTGGTGACTGTGAGACCGTTTAGACGCGTGAATGTAAGACAATGGTCCAGGCCAAAAGTAAATGTAAACAAAAGAACAGCCTGTCCGTTTTATTACATAATTACCACTTCTACAACTTCTACACTCTTGTAAGACTTGCTGACGTGAACAAAAAAAGCTCTAAGCATAACATTAACTAATTTTTTTCTTAGTTATCGGACATGTGAGTCCAAACAGTCCTGACCACTATTTGAGAAAACCAGATCAATGGATTTCAAATAGTTTTCCGTTCTGTGACTCCTGCCCCGAAGATGCTCCTCTGCTCTCTCACAGCTGTGTGGTGGCCCCAGGCTGGTGGTGGCCCCAGGCTGGTGGTCTGCTCGGACTTAAGACCCTCCGGCCTCACTTTCATCTGCCTCTGCTCTGGGTTGGTGGGATGTGACCTCAGATGCCCCCTCTCAAAGTGTCCAGTTTGAATCAGAGCCACATGAGGCAGAGCCGGACATCAGACCAGACTCTTGACAATATCAGGCCTGTGCCACAGCGCTCCTGGGGTGTGGTCCAGAGCAGCTGCAGCTGGGGTTAGAGATAGGTTAGAAATGTCACACTAGAAAGAAAATAATCACCAAACGGGAGGAGAACGTGCAAACCATGCATGTCCTTTGATGAAGGGCCAATTGTGGCCCTCAGTGTCATGTTCTGTGGCCTGCTATCCCAAAGTGAAGATTGAGATCATAAACACAATTTAATTGTCATCCAGCCAACTTCAGCTCTGTCAATATCACTGTAAAACTCATAACTTCTGGAATCCAGTCATTTACTTTATCTGTACAGACCAGACATGTCCAAACTCAGGCTTGTGGGGTTATTTTATGTGGCCCTCTTGCTTGCTAACTAAAAGTATTGTTGAGGTACTTTCACAGTGTCATCCAGCCAACTTCAGCTCAGACCATTTGGAATTCAGTTGTTACTTTTATCTGGGTTGACTGACATTTGCCTTTGATTAAAATGTACAGTGGTCCAGCCTTTTTTTTTTTTTTCTATTCTGTTTTGTTCAGCGCTTTGAGTTGCTTTGTGCTATACAAATAAACTTGCCTTGCCTTGCCTAATGTAGCAGTGGTGTGAATCAAAATGGTCTCTGATCTCTGTCCTGGACTCAGTTCTGTGGTCTCTGTCCTGGGATCTGTTCTGGTCTCTGTCATAGTCCCACTCAGCCTCAGGCTGATGCTGGCTCTGCTCTCACCCTGTGTCACTCAGTCACTTTATTCAGCCCTGAAGAATTGGCAGTGTGTATAGGCCAATATAACACTTTTTAAATTAAACAATCAAAGAGTAGCACATGGCTTTTAGGACAGAAATTGCCTGACTCTCGCCAGACCCTTGTAGATTGCTGCGCTTCTCACATGGGTCTCGGTCTATTCCATAGCGGATAAATTTCTGAAGGCGGGGCCTTGTAATAAAAATCCTTGTATGTGATTGGATAAACCACTATCCAGGCCAAAACCCGCGAGAATGCCCAAGAAAAAACACCCGGAATGATTTTTTGGCTAAAAACGTAATGTAATCAATTACATTTATTACCTACAAGTCGCTTGTTGACAGAGCAGCCATCTTCCTGTGGACTCACCCCCTGCAGAGGATCAGCGAGGGACTGGTGCTATGAGCATTGGGTGGCAGCTCCCCTGACCCAGAAATGGACAATAAAGGGCTTGAAAATGAAGTCGCTTGTTTACAACCCTGCTGCGTAGTGTTGTAAACAAGAACACTTAAACTAGTACTTATACCAGACTTTACTCGAACATTTGACTCTTAAAACACACATCAAACATGGAACCATCAACATCTCGCCTCATGTCACTTTGAATGTCACGCATTCAAAGTGACATCCGTGTCTTAGTTTGTTCATATTTAAACTTTTTTTTTATATCACCAACTTTAAGTCCGCCATCTTGGATTTCTTTTGCTGCCGCTTTCAACCAAGCCCCGGCAATCCAAGATGGCGCCGTATTCAAATGAATGGTTTGTGCTCAGTGGCGCAAGTGCCGGCACGGTCGCTGACATATTTACGGACCTCGCCATATCACTCGCTATATTTGGGCATCATCTGGTCATCCCGGTTCTGGATGATCTCCCATGATGCATTTCGCCAAATACGCTCTGACCAATCAGAACTGCTGATCAAAGCGGAGCTAGTGTGGATTTAAAGAAAACCGAAGGATTTAAGAAGAAAAAAAGTTCAGGATGACAAGGGACACTAAAATCCCCACAAAATCCGACCTTTATGAAAGCTGTAGGTTCTCTGTCAGCTGAGGTCGAGCTGTTAGCAGGCCTATGGGGAAAATGTCTGGTTTGACCACGTGAATTTAGTCTGGTTTAGTCTGCAGTACCGCGAGAATCCCCGAGAACATGGGTTCTTCAGCTTCAAGCTAGTAATACCCTATCCAGTTAGTATAATAGATCCATGCCTGCGACACGCACAAGAAGGCGGTGCAAACCCGACGGCAATCCTGATTGGCCGATTATTTTTTGATCTCCTGAAGGAGTTTGCTATGCGCTCGATACCAGACCCTTGTGTGAAGCAAAACGCCTCTGGTGGAGCATGGCTGAACTACAAGGGTCTGGTGAGAGTCAAGCTACTGTTTTAGTTTGCACCTGTAGTTTAGAACAGACTGCAATTCAAATTCATGTACAAGGACCAAAATGGATGGAATAATTGCTTTTTTATATAAAGTGTCAGGATTATTGCGGAAACTAGAAACACTCTCCAGCTTGAACAGAGATGGTGAGGAATTCTACCTCCAGCATCCATCCAGTTTCTTTCACTTTATCTGTTGCCTCAGGTAGCAGCAGTCTGAGCAGTGACGCCCAGACGTCCCTCTCCACACACACTTCCTCCTGCTCATAAGGAGAATCATGAGGCATTCCCAGGAGGAGAGATGGCCACTGGTAGGCCACTTTGTCTGGCCTACCAGAGAGTCCTCCTGGTCCTGTGTGTTGGTCCTCCCCAGGGGGCATACTTCAGAGGCAGAACACTTTTGTCCCTCACCAGCCTGTCACCTGTGAGTAACGTGAGCATTGTTCTCTGCTGCAGGTGCTGTGCTCGGCCGTGTCAGAACAAACGCTGCTCAAAACGGTCACACACATTTTCTCAGAGGCAGAGTCTGCACGTCGAGCCAGAGACACCAACTGCTCCTTCAGTGACCAGACGCCCCTCTCAGGTACAGCCAGGACTGCATTCAAACTAGGGTTAGGGTCCATAAAGCTGTGTTTTAAGTTTGATTTGCAGTTGAGAGTCCTGTCTCATTATTTCTTCTTTTATTTTTTATCTTTAAATGCAATTTTTTTTATTGGTGAAAATACAGACATGCAGACTTGACATACAAATTAATAATACTACATTATTAAATAAGACTTAATTTCTACAGATCTCATTCTGGACTGTGTGTGTTATATTTGTATTTTTCTTTTTTTTCATTACTTCGAATCATCTTCTGTATGTTCATTTTGGAAAATATTGAATGTTTATCTATTTTCTTTTCATTTATACCTATTCTTGTTGGTTAATCTATTTTATTGACCAATGACTACTATAAATAATATTTTTGTTTGACTTTACTATTATTTTCTAATCTTTTGGCAAATTAACAATTCTGTGACTCTCTCCAAGATGCTGTTGTGATTATGATATTTGATTTGACACTTGTATTGTGACCCTGTGTGTCCAGAGGCTGCAGACCCCGGAGTGTACGATGAGATCATGCAGCCAGTGCTCCACTCAGGCTTCATCTACAAGTGCAGCTCCTGCCACCGGGGGACGCTCTCCAGGAAGAACAGAGATGGTGAGAAACGACTTTATACTATTTACACTACTAAACTTTAAGTGCAGCTTCAGCCACTAGAAACCCTCGCCAGCTGGAACAGAGATAGTGAGACTTCTGCCACTTCTGCTTCATCTGTTGTTCCGCCTCATTCCTACTGTACCTTTCCAGGCCTAGAGTGTTAGTCAAACCTGTCATTCAACACACTTTGGGACCTAGTGCTTCTGTCGAGGCAAAGGTTTTCAGTGTGCACACGCAAATATAGCAGTATTTATTTTAAAACAAAACTTTTTTTATGTTACTGACGTGTTGGACAGGTGAAGAAGATTATACAACTCACCAGTGGCAGGGGGTGCATTTCAGACCAGGGCTGCAGTGATTCCCTATCTGACGTAATCCACCTTCAACCATAAAAACACTTAGTTATGATGCTATGGCTTTATACATTATTCATTTAGATTAATACGCAGTACAACCAAGCTTTGCATCATCTGGGTGGCATGGTGGCTGAGTGGATAGCACTCTTGCCTCTCAGCATGAAGGTCCTGGGTTCGAATCCCGGTCGGACCAGGGCCTTTCTGAGTGGAGTTTGCATGTTCTCCCCGTGTCTGCGTAGGTTTCCTCCGGGTACTCCGGTTTCCCCTACTACTAAAAATATGTACAATAGGTCTGGCATGCGCCTCCTGTTCGGCGACCCCGCTCCCATCTCTGTGTGGAGTGAGAGGACAAGTGCCCAAAAATAACAATTGTAAACCGCTTTGTAACGCTGGTCTGTGAAAGGCGGTATATAAATAAAGATTACTTACTTACTTACTTACATCTGAATATATTGTCAAGTACAACACTGAGATTTACTCCCTCCACCAACACTATGAGCTTTAACACGTTTTTTCACAAAACAGCGGACAGTCAAATCAAATCAAATCAATAAATAAATCCTTTGCACCTAAAGCAGCGTCCCAGAAACATGACGATACAGACAAACTGTTCAGTGGGAGATAGCAGAGAAAGGCTCCGAAAATTATCGCAAACTGAGTAAAGCTTGCTAGCGTCTGGGTTGGCCGTTCTCTCTTCACAGCGTCTAGCTTTTCTTGAAAAGGCTAAAGTGGTGCAATAGAGCAAGGACATCAAGGAGAAGAATTATGGGAGGAACACTCACCACTAAAGTGGTACCATTGTTTATCTGTGTGCTTCTCATCTTGAGCAGACTTCCAGAGGTTCTGGTGCAGCGTGGACCGCTCCCTGGGTCTGTTCGAGACCGAGCTGAGTCCAGAGCCCGTCCTGAAGATTAACTACAGTGACCTGATGTGTTTGGGAGTGACCCGAGCTGACAGCAGCAAGAGGAAGAGCAACGGCTTCATCGACCGGTACTATCCCCTGTAGTACTAGTCAGTAGTACTACTACTACTACTACAGGAGAGACATAAATAGAAAAGTACAGTAGTGCTTAGAAGTCTCTTTTTGGTACAATTCTGTATCAACTATAATAAATAGGTCCTGCATAAAAAAGTAATTCATACAGGTTTAGGATGTATTCATTATTACTGTAATTATTTGTATTTAAAAGAGTCACGGAAGTTGGGAGAAAGCAAAGCTAGTGGTAGTGGTAGTAGTAGTAGTAGTAGTAGTGCTAGTAGAGGTAATAGTAGTTGCTGTAAATACTTATTGTGTGTTGACAGGTTTCGCTACACGTTCGAGCTGTACCTGTCCTCTGAGAAGCTGCTGCAGTTTGGGCTCGAAACCGCAGACGAGCTCCACAGCTGGACAAAAGCCATCGGCAAGGTACGCATGCTGCTGGTCCCAGTACAGGACCAGAGCAGGACCAGAGCAGGACCAGAGCAGGACCAGAGCAGGACCAGAGCAGGACCAGTGAACTGAAAATTGCAGTAGTGCTTAGAAGTCTCTTTTTGGTGCAATTCTGCATCAAATATAATAGATAGATTATGCATAAAAAAAAATTTCATACAGTTTAAGGATGTATTCTTACAGAACCAGAGCAGGACCAGAGCAGAACATGCTGACGTCCTCACAACAGAGCTGGAGACAAATGATGCACTACTGTGTTTTTTCAGCTTTTAACCACGTTACAACATTGATCTCTCTTCAGTTGTTTTTAGATCAATCCACACAAGTATAAAGAACTTCTGGCATAAATACGTAACTCATCCCCTTCTGTCTAAAAGTTCCCCGTAAAAACCTGGAGATGAGTTCCTGCTGTACATAGACTGTAAATATTAACGGACGTAGTCACACCTATCTCCGCCGTTCTAACTAATGTGCCACAACTTCCGCGTTCTATGGGCAGTTTCAAAATGGCCGCGGGGGCTGGAAAATGTGAAAAAACGCATCTGCGCATGTGTCAGCCGGCACGAGCCCCATTCATTTAACGAGTGCCTTCAAAAATTCACACCGACTAAACTAGACTGGTCCCAAAAAAATCACCCCCCCCAGCATTGACACACATGTGGAACGGAGCTTTGGGCCAAGAGCCAACTTTTGGACCATCCTGTAAAGACGTTTTTGAGGGTCAAGAAGATGCTATATGTTAGCATTGGCTAATTCTTATTCCGGGTCCACCCCCATCGGCCCGGGGTGGTATTGCAAGCATGTCAGCGCACATCATTTTGGCCACTTTTGAGCCGGGAACCGCCCCCACTGGCACTGTAATAGCCTTTATTCATCCCACAGTGGGGAAAGGCCTTCATTCCTTCCGTTGCATTGGAGGTTGGTGGAAGTAAATGAAACGTTACCTGTTGCTTGCAGGCGTTCACTCCGCTGAGCTGCCACTGCCTGCTTTCCCGGGAGTTCCAGCGCGTGGGTCTGCTCCGCTACAGGGCCATGTTGGACCCTCAGCAGTGGAGAGAGGCCTTCTTCGTCCTGCAGAAGTCCAACCTGTTCATCTGCCCTCGCACGGATGGGGCCGCCGAAGACATCATCAACCTGAGGAGGCTGCAGGAGCTTAGTCAGTCCACATCTGCTTTACTTTACTTTGGCTGGAGTTCTGCCTCGGTGCTAGTTTCAGTGATTTTATGCATTGTGCTTTTGTAGGCGTGTCTTCAGAAGGAGAGGGTGAGAAGAAAGACACCCTGGTTCTGGTGGAGAGAGGACGGTGAGCCATACTGCAATAGATAGTGTTTTCAACAGTTGGATGTCATAATGAATAATAACAGGTGAAACTGGAGAAATCACAGGATAAGGCTCAAGTTACCCCAGGGATGCATTAGTCAAAAAGGCCTGATTTAAAGGGCAGGTAGGGACCAAGTGTACAGTAAGACTGTAGATAAAGGGATTGCATTTACCCATAACTTTTATTACATTGTTTTTGATATTGAGATTTTGAATTAAGAAAATATGTGTTAATGAACCGATGGCGTTTACAAGGCATTTTTTTCACCTTTATTAAATATGGCTAAATATTTTAGAAATGTGAGAAACCTCATGGAGACCCATATTGAGGGAGGGATCCACTCCCGCGAACAGTCAGGCTGTAGATCTAGGACTCAGGCTGTAGATTTAGGACTCAGACTGTAGATTTAGGACTTCTTTTTGGTTATTGTTTGATAGGCATTTTAATAAAAAACTAAATTAGTTCAGTAATGTTTGTATTGAACTGGACCAATGAAAAAAATGGCTCAAAGTTTAATTTACAGATTGATAAAAATGATGACTTATTATTAATTGTGTTTTGGGATAATTGTCAAAATAAATGATGTATTCCAGAGAAAGGCAGCTTTAAAATGACTTATATCATAGCATGATATAACATAGTTAAAGTGGCCTTAAATGTTGATATAAAATAAGTCATTTTATTAATTCTAATATTACGGGTAAGTCCAGCCTTCCCTTCTCTTAGCTATAGCTCAGAATCCACGGTGCCGTCCACGTTAACCATTCGAGTCATGCCAAGGGCTGTCAATCATCGGCGCTGATGCTCATTGCTCCGCGCATGCTCAGTTGTTTGTTTTTGCGGAGCCTCCGAATCAAGGCTCTATTAGGTTCTGGAACTACAGGAAAACTGAACAAAGAATTCTGAACATCTGCGCTGAGGTACTTATGTGTATAGTGAACCTATACATAATCATTTATATACTGAACCTATATCCATAATCATTTATATACTGAACCTATATCCATAATCATTTATATACTGAACCTATATCCATAATCATTTATATACTGAACCTATATCCATAATCATTTATATACTGAACCTATATCCATAATCATTTATATACTGAACCTATATCCATAATCATTTATATACTGAACCTATATCCATAATCATTTATATACTGAATCTTTATCCATAATCAATTATATACTGAACCTATATCCATAATCATTTATATACTGAACCTATATCCATAATCAGATCCTCTGCAGATGTGTCCTATAATGTGCAATTCATGATAATAGCACTTCCGGGTTTGCCGCGAATAATTCTGAAAACCTCTGTGCACGTGTATTAAAGATGTATATGTATAATGTGTTCTCTGATTAACATTTAAAAGTGTTACGGAAACGTAGGTGTAGACCAATCAGAAAGGAAGGGGGAGGAGCTTGCGTCTTTTTTTTTTCAAATCAAGTACCTCTCTGTCTCTCTGACAAACTCCAGACAATCACTTTAAGGACGAATGGCTGATATTTTGAAAACTTTACATTCACATTCAACAACATGAATGATATGTTGTGGCAATTTTGCAAAGGAAAACTGGAACTACCGGAGAAACCCCCATAAGAATAGATTTTCACGATAGCAGACAGTGGTTTGTTATGTCTTTAAGCTCATCCTTACACTGTGCGTCAGATATTTGGTGTTGTCCTGTCCAGCCTCACCCCTTCCTCTTCCTCTCCCTTAGTACCCTGCATGTCCAGGGGGTGGCCCGCTCAGACTTCTCCCTGTGGTGCTCAGACATCCAGAGGGCGTCTGGAGGGAGGGGCAACTCTCTGAGGGAACAGCAGCTCAGCCGTAACGACATCCCCATCATCGTGGATAGCTGCATGGCCTTCATCACCCAGTACGGTACGTCCCAGTCCAATCCTTTTCTGCACCCAACCCATTGGACAACAATGAGGGATAATGCCCACATTAGTGGTAGAAGTCTGAAATTCCATTATCTTATTACAGTAAACTTCCACTGTATGTGGTGTGAACGAAGGCATGCAGTTGAACAAAAGGTAATTCGAGACATTTTCAAAAAATAATTTGGAGGCAATTACGTTCATCATGTTTGTAAAAGCAGCATTTGGTGGATATATGGTCCGTTAGCAAGGTGAACACCTCTCTATCACAAGTGAATATGTAGTTTGGGTACCGAAGGATGTAGTTTACGATTGTCCACAGGTATTTATTGTGCTGAATGTCTCTCCTTAATCTCGCAAATAAACCCCATGTTGAGCGACAGAAAGACGTCAAGAAGTGAAACATGAGGGAGGATCTGCTGGATCCGTTAACTAACTAGATGCTTCCATCTATCCAAAAGTGCATCTTAATGATCTCGCAGTTCCTCCTTGTTCTGTGATTGGTCCCAAATTCAACACAACATCTTGGCCTGTTGTGCAGTTCAAAAAGGATGAGCGCACACATTTAGTGATTCCAAGGCTAAAATCAATGGAATTATGTTGTAACTGTTATGTTGTACATAGTGTATTTCATGTACTCTATGTATGTGACTGGAATGTTCCAAAGTTTTTCATTTATTTATTCCATAATAATATATTATATGTAGCAAATTCCTATGAAATAAGTACCACATTAATGGTTTTAACAGCTAGCTGTATCCAAAGCCATAAAAGGTACCTCCTTGCATGTTCTTCCTTTTATTTTGCATTGACGTTTATTGTGTTAAATTTTACATTAATTACAAAAGTTTCATTTCACCTAAAACCTCACTCATCAAAGGAAGGAAGAGGGCTCCCATTCAAATCAAGGGAAATCTGAGAAATTCCCCCAAAAAGCTTTGGTTTTTTTCTCTCTAGCTGTCGATTATATTAACCATTAATGTGGTATTTATTTGACCATTTACTAAAGACAAAACCCATATGAATAACTTAATTCGGTAATTTAAATGGTTCTTGTCTTTAGTACATGGTAAAACTGGTTAATATAACTGAAATACACCAAAACACAATGCTAACTGATGGCAACTAGCACTTGGTCTAAGCTGAGTATGCTCTGAACCAGTCAAGGATTGAGATCATTTTAAACATAATTACATAGGACGTTTTTTCTGTATCTATATGTAGTATATTTCTAACTTATGAAAAAACTTACGTAATCTTAGTAATTACACTTCCAAAATGAAAAGCCTGCAAATCGACTGCTCTGGGAGTTTCTAGTGTTAAAAGCACTCCTGTTGCCCGGCTGCAGGTCTGGGCCACGAGGGAATCTACCGGAAGAACGGAGCCAAGTCCAGGATCAAACTGTTGATGGAGGAGTTCCGCAGAGACGCCCGCAACGTGAAGCTGCGAATCGGAGACCACTTCATCGAGGACGTGACGGACGTGCTCAAGCGCTTCTTCAGAGAGATTGACGACCCCATCTTCATGAGCGACCTGCACCCCCTGTGGCAGGAGGCCGCAAGTACTGCTCTTTACAGGCTTTTTATCCACTCATTCAAGTTCTTTGCAAACTAAAGAGGGATAAATGAAAAACATAAAACTAGATTTGTCAGTTTGTCAATAGAACAAGTATCTTCGTGCTTGTTGTCAGACAAAAGCATTAATTTACATATTTATAAATTGTCAAAACATGGTCTAACCCAGGTCTAATGTTGAATGGGACTAAGAATGTTATGTTTAGTCTTGCTTTAGTCCTGTGTTAGACCTGCTTGAGTCCTGCTTCAGTCTGGCTTTAGTCTGGCTTTAGTCTGGCTTTAGTCCTCCTTTAGTCCTGCTTTAGTCCTGCTTTAGTCCTGCTTTAGTCCTGCTTTAGTCCTGCTTTCGTCCTGCTTTAGTCCTGCTTTAGTCCTGCTTCAGTCCTGCTTCAGTCTGGCTTTAGTCTGGCTTTAGTCTGGCTTTAGTCCTTTTAGTCCTGCTTTAGTCCTGCTTCAGTCCTGCTTTAGTCCTGCTTCAGTCCTGCTTCAGTCTGGCTTTAGTCTGGCTTTAGTCTTGCTTTAGTCTTGCTTTAGTCCTGCTTTAGTCCTGCTTTAGTCCTGCTTTCGTCCTGCTTTAGTCCTGCTTTAGTCCTGCTTCAGTCCTGCTTTAGTCCTGCTTCAGTCCTGCTTCAGTCTGGCTTTAGTCTGGCTTTAGTCTGGCTTTAGTCCTGCTTTAGTCCTGCTTTAGTCCTGCTTTAGTCCTGCTTCAGTCCTGCTTTAGTCCTGCTTCAGTCCTGCTTCAGTCTGGCTTTAGTCTGGCTTTAGTCTTGCTTTAGTCTTGCTTTAGTCCTGCTTTAGTCCTGCTTTAGTCCTGCTTTAGTCCGGCTTTAGTCCTGCTTTAGTCCGGCTTTAGTCCTGCTTTAGTCCTGCTTCAGTCCTGCTTCAGTCTGGCTTTAGTCTGGCTTTAGTCTTGCTTTAGTCCTGCTTTAGTCCTGCTTTAGTCCTGCTTTAGTCCTGCTTTAGTCCTGCTTTAGTCCTGCTTTAGTCCGGCTTTAGTCCGGCTTTAGTCCTGCTTTAGACCCACTTAATCTTGCTTTAACACATGTGTTTCTCACAGAACAGTCTCAGAGGAGTCAGAGACTGGACCGATACAAAGAGATCATCCGCAGTCTTCCTCGGGTCAACAGGACCACTCTGGCCGCTCTCATCAGTCACTTGTATCGGTAAGAGTCAAACTGTCCAATAATAAAACTCTGGACCTGGAACATCGAGGATCATTTGTCTGATTTTGTATTTTTGTGAGTCATTTGAAAGATGATGTGCTGCTGCTGTGTCAGTGAAGCAGAGATCCAGGGGCGGACAGGAGCCCACAGAGGAGCACTAATGCATTCATGATCAATGATCTCTTCATCTTAATCTTAATCTTAATCCTTATCATAATCTTAATTTGTTAAACATGAATCACCTCAAGAAAAGCTCTATACAGGGCTCCTAGAGTTCCCAAGCATGTCTTGTTCACACAGGATAATGCAGTATGTCTGTGTGTAGATTTACATACAGACATACTGCCTCGACAAAGTTTTCCAATCAAAATAAAATGTATTCATAATTTGCTTTAAAGTGAATTAAGAACAATGCCCATTGATCCGTTACCTGACCCACCCAACAGCCCCTGCCCAAGTAGACAACAGCATATAAATGTAACTTACAACGTGCACACACACACGTACATAAACACACAAATGCACACACACACACACATGTACACTCAGGCACATAAATGAAAACCATGGAAAACATGAGGATGAGTGCAGAGGTAACCAGCTGAAGCAGACTGTCTGCATTAGGAGCAGAGAGCCGCCTGCAGCCAGAGGTGACGACACAAGACCCAGAGGATTAATGAAGCCGAGGCTCCAGACCTCCACCAGGTCCAAGAGCCAGACCCCCAGAGCCACAGTCGACCACCGCCCCCAGTGCAGAGGGCTGCTCCAAAGGAAACACTGAGGATACTAAAAGAAAAAGATAAAAAGTAAAATATTGAAATGAATGAGTGATAGGTTGTAGAAAATACAGGATCAGGATTTGAAAACAGTAGACGGGGCTGGAGTGCTTCTTGGATGTAAAAATGAAATAAGGAAAAAAGTTAACTTTTGAGAAGGATCAGGACTTGATCTGCACAGATTCTAGGGCCGTTTAAAAAAAAACATTTCATCAAATGCCTTTATCATTTACACAGAAACGACTCTTTTTTTTTTAAAGATGATGCAAAAATCTGAAAACTATTCATTTTTCATGGTGATATCGGAAACTAGGGCAATTTTTACGTATACATGGTCCATTTTCTGCAACCAGAGGGTTTGGGCCTAAATGCTGAAACTACTAAATAGACCTGAAGTGTGTGCGGTGTGTTACATGTGTGTGTGGTGTGTGTTCCCAGGGTACAGAAGTGTGTGTTACATGTGTGTGGTGTGTGTTCCCAGGGTACAGAAGTGTGTGCTGCTGTGTGCGGTGTGTTACATGTGTGCGGTGGTGTTCCCAGGGTACAGAAGTGTGTGTTACATGTGTGCGGTGTGTGTTTCCAGGGTACAGAAGTGTGTGCTGCTGTGTGCGGTGTGTTACATGTGTACGGTGTGTGTTCCCAGGGTACAGAAGTGTGTGTTACATGTGTGCGGTGGTGTTCCCAGGGTACAGAAGTGTGTGCGCTGCTGTGTGCAGTGTGTTACATGTGTACGGTGTGTGTTCCCAGGGTACAGAAGTGTGTGTTACATGTGTGCGGTGTGTGTTTCCAGGGTACAGAAGTGTGTGCTGCTGTGTGCGGTGTGTTACATGTGTGCGGTGGTGTTCCCAGGGTACAGAAGTGTGTGCGCTGCTGTGTGCAGTGTGTTACATGTGTACGGTGTGTGTTCCCAGGGTACAGAAGTGTGTGTTACATGTGTGCGGTGTGTGTTTCCAGGGTACAGAAGTGTGTGCTGCTGTGTGCGGTGTGTTACATGTGTGCGGTGGTGTTCCCAGGGTACAGAAGTGTGTGCGCTGCTGTGTGCAGTGTGTTACATGTGTACGGTGTGTGTTCCCAGGGTACAGAAGTGTGTGTTACATGTGTGCGGTGTGTGTTTCCAGGGTACAGAAGTGTGTGCTGCTGTGTGCAGTGTGTTACATGTGTACGGTGTGTGTTCCCAGGGTACAGAAGTGTGTGTTACATGTGTGCGGTGTGTGTTTCCAGGGTACAGAAGTGTGTGCTGCTGTGTGCGGTGTGTTACATGTGTGCGGTGGTGTTCCCAGGGTACAGAAGTGTGTGCGCTGCTGTGTGCAGTGTGTTACATGTGTACGGTGTGTGTTCCCAGGGTACAGAAGTGTATGTTACATGTGTGCGGTGTGTGTTTCCAGGGTACAGAAGTGTGTGCTGCTGTGTGCGGTGTGTTACATGTGTGCGGTGGTGTTCCCAGGGTACAGAAGTGTGTGCGCTGCTGTGTGCAGTGTGTTACATGTGTGCGGTGTGTGTTCCCAGGGTACAGAAGTTTGTGTTACATGTGTGCGGTGTGTGTTTCCAGGGTACAGAAGTGTGTGCGCTGCTGTGTGCAGTGTGTTACATGTGTACGGTGTGTGTTCCCAGGGTACAGAAGTGTGTGCGCTGCTGTGTGCAGTGTGTTACATGTGTACGGTGTGTGTTCCCAGGGTACAGAAGTGTGTGTTACATGTGTGTGGTGTGTGTTTCCAGGGTACAGAAGTGTGTGCGCTGCTGTGTGCAGTGTGTTACATGTGTACGGTGTGTGTTCCCAGGGTACAGAAGTGCGTGCGCTGCTGTGTGCAGTGTGTTACATGTGTGCGGTGTGTGTTCCCAGGGTACAGAAGTGTGTGTTACATGTGTGCGGTGTGTGTTTCCAGGGTACAGAAGTGTGTGCGCTGCTGTGTGCAGTGTGTTACATGTGTACGGTGTGTGTTCCCAGGGTACAGAAGTGTGTGTTACATGTGTGCGGTGTGTGTTCCCAGGGTACAGAAGTGTGTGCGCTGCTGTGTGCAGTGTGTTACATGTGTACGGTGTGTGTTCCCAGGGTACAGAAGTGTGTGTTACATGTGTGCGGTGTGTGTTCCCAGGGTACAGAAGTGTGTGTTACATGTGTGCGGTGTGTGTTTCCAGGGTACAGAAGTGTGTGCGCTGCTGTGTGCAGTGTGTTACATGTGTGCGGTGTGTGTTCCCAGGGTACAGAAGTGTGCTGACCTGAACCACATGTGCACAAAGAACCTGTCCCTGCTGTTCGCCCCCAGCCTGTTCCAGACCGATGGGAAGGGCCAATACGAGGTCCGCATCGTGGAGGACCTCATCGACCACTACCTCTACGTCTTTGATGTATGTGAAGTGTCAATCATATCCCAGAAGCAAAGGCCACAATCATTTAATGACTATGACATTAATATATCTGCTCTATTGTCTTGAGGTCGAGGTTTTAACCATGGTAGAAATCAAGATAAACATCCTCCTGCCCTTTTGTCTAAATGCTCCTTTCTCAAACTTTGTAACCACAAAATCTTAGAGCTATTTTGCCGTTTTTTATCTACACTCTTAATTAGTTTGGTGAATTTCTACACTCACATTGTCCTTCTGTGTTCACCAAAATGTCTAAATGTAAGTACAGTACACTCGATAGAGCAGTTCCACCACTTTAGTGCTTGAGTGAAGGTTTTCTTGAAGACCACTCGGTCAACTTTAGGTCCAAGTCCCGAACCACTCTGGAGTTTAAACTTGTTGGCTTGTGGTTAAAAGACCCACTATCCACAAATGTTCTTATTCACGCCATGAGCACACATATTTGGATATAGTTGTAAATATTCTCCCTTTGTGCTATGAGACTTGGGTGGCATCTCTGATTGCCACCCCCCTGACCCAGAAATGGATTAAAGGGTAGAAAATGGATGGATGGATGGATGGATATTCTCCCTTGCTAAATGGACATACAGCTGATAGTGAGTTGTGTCGTGTTGCAGATCGACGAGGAGCACCAGAGTCAGATGGAGCTGGAAATCAGCCTGATCACCAGCTGGAAGGACACGCAGGTGAGCCTCCTCCGCTCCGCTGCCTCAGGGTTCTTTCAACGACAAATCAGCAGCAAAATCAGCTTTGTGGTGTTTTTACCAACTTACAGCATTGACACTACCTTTGATTCTGGCGTTGTGTTACACCTCTCCGACAACTTGGTGTGGAAAAATATGCCCTTTAATTTTTCCGGAAAACACAACAGCAAAAACAGGACAAACAGACAGCAGCTGATCAGGTTACAAGTCCTCTAGTTGAGAACAAACAAAACATGACTGTTATATACCATTTAAAACAATGGCAACCATGCAATAATAACTGTTTACATACACTTATTCTAAGTGCTGCAATTTCTTTCAGATGGTAAAATGCTGCTATTGTAAGTGATATGATGTGGCTGTTTTTCTAAGTAAATTTCAGAATCAGAATCAGAATCATTTTTATTGCCACGTAAGTAACAGGAAGTCACAGACTTGGAAATTGCTTTGGCTCAGTGCAACAGTCAGAAAGAGATAATAAAAAATAAAGAATAAAAAACACTTCTAAGGAATAAATTTAAATTGAAAATAGAGTTACTATTTACAATATACAAGTGCACATGGTGCACACAATGTAAGGTGACAGCAGTAAAGTGAAGTAAAGTGACGTATGATGGGCAGTAAAGTGACTTTATAAAGGGCGGGGAGGTTAAGAAGTGTTCAAGAGTCCAACAGCAGAGGGGAAGAAACTGTTCTTGTGGCGGGAGGTTCTAGTCCTGATGGACCGCAGCCTCCTGCCTGAGGGGAGTGGTTGGAATAGTCCATGTGCAGGGTGAGAGGGGTCAGCTGTGATACGACCAGCCCGGCCTCGAGCTCGGGCGACGTACAGGTCCTGCAGCGATGGAAGGCTGCGGCCGATCACTTCCAAATTTAAGTCTGATTCCAATAAAACCTGCAGATTTCACAGCATTCAGCCCCAATCTTCAGGCAAACCAACCTCACAAACTAACATTTTGTGACAAACTGACAAACTTTGACTCATGTGTTGTGTCAAGTTATTGATGAAGATAGAATGAGTTTGACAGCTTCTTGGGAACTTCATAAGGGCCTCAAATGTGTAAATGGTGTTTTGGTGATAAAGTCCTCTGCTCTCAGCTCTCTCAGGCTGGAGACCTGATCATCGAGGTGTATTTAGAGATGAAGATCCCAGACTGCTGCATCACACTCAAGGTACACTGTTACTACTGCTTCTACTACTGCTACTGCTAATAATACTTCTGCTACTATCACCACTAGTAATACTGATACTTTTCAATTCAGTTTCAATTCAATGTACTTTTGTATGGCCCTAAATCACAACAGTAGTTTTTTCGCAGGACTTCACAAAACCGTTGGATTCGCCAACACAGATCAGAGAATCAAATAGTTCAAACACAAGAAATACTCTGATGAAGAACACATAGATCCATTGGTCCATAAGGAGCAGATGACCAATGTCCATACCATAGACTGTAAAAATGAATGGACGTAGTCACGCCTATCTCCGCCGTTCAAACTAATGGGCCAAAAATAGTGCTCTACTGGAGCTATCCAAAATGGCCGCGAGTGGTCCCGCCCACAAGAAAATTGTGAAAAAACGCATCTGCGCATGCGTCAGCCGGCGCAGCTCCATTCATTTGAACGAGAGACTTCAAAAATTCACAGCAAGTAAACTAGACTGGACCAAAACACCCCCCTCAGCATTGACACACATGTGGAACGGAGCTTTGGGCCAAGAGCCAACTTTTGGTCCATCCTGTAAAGACGTTTTCGAGAGGTCTGCCAATGCTATATGTTAGCATTGGCTAATTCTTATTCTGGGTCCACCCCATCGGCCCGGGGTGGTATTGCAAACATGTCAGCGCACATCATTTTGGCCACTTTTGAGCTGGGACCCGCCCCCACTGGTCCATATGTAAAGGATAAAGTCCTTAAATGTTGTTGAATGTCGAGTGTACTACTACTACTACTACTACTATTTATTCTATATTATTACCAGTTATTTTCTGAGCAGCTTTTGTCCTCCTGCTCACAGCCATTTGCCAATACTTATATATATGTAAAAGTAATGTAAAATAATGTAATAATGCTGCTTTGTGCTCTTTTTTGAATCAGGTGTCTCCAACCATGTGTACGGAAGAACTGACCAATCAGGTTCTGTATTTGAGGAATGTCCCGCCCTCTGAAAGAGAGGTTTGGATGACGTTTGAGGCCATTGAAGACGGACAGCTCGGTAAGAATTATATAACTTCTGTTATTCTCACTAAATATCACAGATATCATCAGAGATCCAGAGCGTCCTGTGTTTGTGAATGATGTGTGGTTATGGTAACCGGGTGTGGTTCTGGTTGGAACATGTTGGTGCTTGTACACAGGGTGAGTGAATAATGTGACATAAAATGAGAGATTTTAAAGAAGAGACATTCTGCATTTCATGAGACTCTAATGAAATAAATAGGCCGTGCTATTTATGGTGTCTTTTCCGAGACTGCAAATTGAATTGTTATATTATACAGTTATAACTGTATAATATACAGTTATAACTGTATAATGCATGAGTTGTTTAATTCTTACTTAGCTTTCAGTTTGCTCTTATTCTTTCATCCAATTCTTTGCAAGAAACGAGAGCTGAATTGGAACTAAACCAGGATTAATCTGTTTGTGGGTTTGTCCTCTAGAGCGCCCCCTACACCCCAAAGAGCGCGTGCTGGAACAGGCACTGCAGTGGTGCAACATGGCCGACCCAAGCTCCGCCTTCCTCATTGTCAAGAGAGTTCCCAAAGAGGACGCCATCAACATATTCACCTGTAAGTCCCCACGCTGATATGAATATGAGTCCTGCTTTGGATCTGCGTTAGCCTTGCTTTAGACCAGCTTCAGACATGTTTTAGACTTGCTTTAAACTGGCTTTAAACCTGCTTTAGACCTGCTTCAAACCTACCCTAGATTTACTTTAGACTGGCTTTAGACTTTCTTTAGACTGGCTTTAGACCCGTTTCAGGCATGCTCCAAAGATTAGTCTAGTCCTGGTCTATAGTTAAGTTTGCCTTCTGTGCTGTGCAGCGTACAAAAGTGAGGTGATGAAGGTGGGCCTGCTGAGGTGCAGAGAGGAGCCTCCTAAACTCCTACAGGGGAACAAGTTCCAGGAGAGAACCTTCCAAATCCACGGCAACAAGCTGCTCCTGCTCAAGGAAAAGAAGGTACTGGTCACTGGCAGTGTTGGGCAAGATACTTCAAAATCTGTACTGCAATATTACTGTTATTATTACTACTCTGAATAGTAAAGCATTATACTACTACTGCATTAGAATTGCCTTTGTCACACTTCTTATTAGTTTTGGCAAACACCCACAATGTGCCTTGAAAATGACAATGATTCCCACTCAAGGGAGCTGTATAGTACTATACTTGTTTATATTTTTAGAACGGATCTGTGTTTTCTTTAGAGCATCAAACCTGAGAAGGAGTGGAGTCTGAAGTCCATGAAGATCTACATCGGCATCAGAAAGAAGCTCAAAGCCCCCACCAGGTAGCCCTGAACCAAGTCCTGCCTTATACCTGCTTTAGATCTCCTTTAGACCTGGTTTAATCCTACTTAAGACCTGGTTTTGTCCTGGTTTTGTCCTGGTTTTGTCCTGTCATAGTCCTGGTTTTGTCCTGTCATAGTCCTGGTTTTGTCCTGTCATAGTCCTGGTTTTGTCCTGGTTTTGTCCTGTCATAGTCCTGGTTTTGTCCTGCTTTAGTCCTGCTTTAGAGCTGCATTAGTCCTGCTTTAAATCTGCTTTAGATTTGCTTTAGATCTGCTTTAGATCTGCTTCAGACACTAATAGTCCTGTTGTCATATTTTGCAGATGGGGGTTCACTGTGACATCACATAAACACCAGCTGTGAGTACATTCCTCTTGTTTGAAAGGTGTTTTTATTTTTGTTTAGACCCAAAATAAACTCTTGCCCAAATTGTGTGTGCAGTTACCTGTGCTGCAGCGGAGAGGCCGAGCTCTGGGACTGGATCACCTGTTTCCTCAAGGCTCAGGTCAGCTCTCCTCTGAATGTGTAACGACCCCATGGTCTCTGTCCAATCATAAATGTATGCTAGCTGCTAGCGTGAGCAACCTGTATGAGAAAGAGGATCAATCAATCAATCAACTTTATTTGTATGGCGCCTTTCCAACACAAGGCCACTCAAAGCGCCTCACAACCCACATAATATCAGACAAATCAGAAACATCAAAAACTACATATACAAACAATAAATACATTAAAAACAGAATAAAATCACAAGTAATGAAAAAAACCTTAAAATATTAAAAGCACACACGGGATTAAAATAATAAATAACCACAATGCATTAAAAAAAAGAGTATGTATCAATAAAATCCTTCAGCCGTATGCACAGCTAAAAAGAACAGTTTTTATCCCTGATTTGAAAATTGCCAGAGTAGATGCTAGCCTCACATCCTCAGGAAGATTGTTCCAGATTTTAGCTCCATAAATCTCAAACGCTGCCTCCCCATGTTTAGTTCTGACTCTTGGAACCAGTAAGAGGCTACCTCCTGTGCTCCTCAGAGTCCGGGCCGGTTCATATGGCACTAACAAGTCGCTTAAGTACTTTGGTGCGAGGCCATGGAGAGACTTGTACACAAGCAGTGCTGCTTTAAAGTCTATTCTCTGAGCCACAGGAAGCCAGTGCAGAGACCTGAGAACTGGACTAATGTGGTCATATTTCCTGGTCCTGGTCAGGACTCGAGCTGCAGCATTTTGGACATACTGCAGTTGTTTTACAGCCTGTTTGGACAGACCTGTGAGCAGGCCATTGCAGTAGTCTAACCTACTGGAGACAAATGCATGGATGAGAATCTCCAGATCTGATGTAGACACTATGTTTCTAATTTTGGCAATGTTTTTCAGATGGTAAAATGCTGCTGATGTTACTGATTTGATATGACTGTTAAAATTTAAGTCTGAGTCCATTATAACTCCTAGGTTTCTGACCTTGCCTACAGGTTCCAGGGAGAGAGACTGGAGGTGACGAATAACGCTCTCTCTTTGTTTCTGGGGACCAAAGACAATCAATTCTGTTTTGTCTGCGTTTAGCTGAAGGAAGTTATTTTGCATCCAATCACTAATCTGTTGAGTACAGTGAAGGAGTGATTCCACTGGTCCATGTTCTCCTGCAGTAAGTGAGACATAAATTTGAGTGTCATCAGCGTAATTGTGGTAGGATACATTGTTGGAGCGTATTAACTGACCTAATGGCAGCATGTAAATATTGAACAGAAGAGGCCCCAGAATTGATCCCTGTGGCACTCCGCAGGTCAGAGCCATATCATCTGAGACACAGTTTCCTATCTGAACCAAGTATTTCCTGTCTTCTAGGTAAGACCTAAACCAACTTAGGGCAGTCCCAGTGACACCCACCCAGTCCTCTAGTCTCTGCATGAGGATCTCGTGGTCGACTGTGTCGAACGCAGCACTCAGATCCAACATTACTAAAACTGTGACTTTTCCTGTGTCGGTGTTAAGTCGGATGTCATTTGTAACCTTCACTAGTGCAGTCTCAGTGCTGTGATTGGCTCTAAAGCCGGACTGGAGCGCATCAAAGGAACTATTAGTTACTAAGAATTCTGTAAGTTGTTGGTAAGCAACTTTTTCCAGAATTTTTCCCATAAACGGCAGATTTGAAATGGGGCGGTAATTCTTAAGAACTGTGGCATCTAGACTCCTCTTTTTTAGGAGGGGTCTGATGACTGCCGTTTTCAGGGCCATTGGAAATGTTCCAGATGAGAGAGACATGTTCACTATTTGTGTGAGCAAAGGTAAAAGACTGCTCAAAACAGACATAAAAAATTTAGTGGGTAGTACATCCAGGCTACATGTGGAGGAACTAAGGCTAGAGACAACATCTTGGACAGTTTCATTATCTGTTGGTGCAAAGTGCGATAGCTCAAAAAGCCTCACCGGCTGTTGTAATGTTATTTCTGCCTTGGAGGTGATGGCGTTTTTGATGCTCTGAACCTTGTCATTGAAAAATTGTGCAAACTCATTACATTTAGATTCTGAAGCAAATTCGAATGGTAGCTGAACAGGGGGGTTTGTTAATCCGTTAACTGTTGAAAACATAAGTCGTAGATTATTATTGCAGCCATCAATGGTTTTAGAAAAATAAATTTCTCTTGTTCTACGTAGCACCCTGTTAAACTTGCACAACTCATTTTTGAAGATCTCATGATCAACCTGGAGATTGGATTTTCGCCACTTCCGCTCGGCCCTACGGCACTCTCTCTTCTGTACCATGACTGAGTCCATTTTAGTCCAGGGGGCCTTTGGCTTATTTGTAATCATTTTAACCTTCACAGGAGCGATGATGTCCAGAACATTTATAACATTGGCGGTGACAGAGTTAAACAATTCGTCAACAGTAGAACACAATGTGTTCTCAAAGTTTATCATTCCCATGAATAGTTCGGTTGTGTTTTCATTTATGTGTCTGTGTCTGACAATTGCAGATTCAGATATATATGGTTGTTTACTATCAAAACACATGTCAAAAAATACACAGAAGTGATCTGACAAAGCCACGTCAACCACATTTACATTTAAAATATTAACCCCCTTAGTAACCAGCAGGTCTAGAGTGTGCCCTTTGCTGTGGGTGGGGCCACTCACGTGCTGAGTGAGACCAAATGTTTCAAGTACAGAACTCAGCTCTTTTGCATTTTTGTCATTGCCATTATCCACATGAATATTAAAATCACCTGTAATCACTAAACTATCAAAATCGGTGCAAACAACTGAAAGCAACTCAGTGAAATTATCAAAGAAATTGTGACATGACTGCGGTGGCTTGTACAGGACAATGATAAGAATAGAAGGAGATTGTTTTTGTTCTATTTTAAAAGAAATATACTCAAATGATAGAAAATTTCCAAGGAGAATTCTATGAGAGATAATATGATCTCTAAATAATGCAGCAATGCCTCCCCCCCTTTTATTTTCTCGTATTTCAGATTCAAATTTGAAGTTTGGTGGCGTTGCTTCTATTAAAACCGCATTACCTGTACTCTGGTCAAGCCAAGTTTCAGTCAGAAACATAAAATCAAGATCATAAGAACGAATAAAATTATTAATTAAAAATGATTTGTTGCACAGTGATCTGACATTAAGCATAGCAATTTTAAAATTAATATCAGTAACAGTGGGTTTAGTTAATTGATTTTTACAAGGAGCAGGAATTAGATTTGAATGTCTAACTGCTGTCCTTCTGTTATGATTTTGTTTTCCATTCAAATAAAAACATTTTTTGAAACTGATGCGAGGAACACACACAGTTTCTATTTGTCTAACATGTGAACTCTTTTGCTGTGTAAGTCCCGGATTCAGGACGGCATTGCTTCGTTGTTTAGAGCAGGAGGCAGCACGGTTCAGAGGCGAGACTGTTATTTCACTGCCAGACGGAAAGGGGTCAGTGTTTGCACCACAGTACTCACCCGGTGCTGGTGAGCAGGAGAAGAAGAAGGAGGAGGGTGGTGGTGGTGGGGGCTCCGATGTAAACAGTCACGCCCCCCTCGGGGAACACTGAATAACGTGGCGTAAGTAATCCGTCAACAAGCTGGTGCCATATCTATTTGGGTGCAGACCGTCTGGACGATAAGCCACGTGACGCTTCCAGAAAAGGCCAAAGTTATTCACAAAAATAAAGTTAAACGAGCTACATGCAGACTGGAGCCACATGTTCAACGCCACTACGCGACTGTAGAGGCAGTCCCCCCGTTTTACAGTCGGGACTGGACCAGAAATAAAAACAGACAACCCGGAGGACTGGAGGAGGCGGAACAGATCCATAAAGTGCTTCTTTGTGGATTACCTACTTTACTCTAAGACTGACTGATTGAATATTGATTTGCTCTATGTGGTGGGCGACACGGTGGTGCAGTGGTTAGTGCTTATGTTTCAAAGCAAGAAGGTCCAGGGTTTGATTCCACCACCAGGTCTTTCTGTGGAGTTTGTATGTTTTCCCCATGTCTGCGGTTTCCTCCAGGTGCTCTGATTTCCCCTCCAGGTGCTCTAATGCAGTGTTTTTCAACCAGTGTGCCATGGAACGTTAGTGTGCCTTGAGATGATATTCGGTGTGCCTTGAGAAATGATTCAATATCAACTACTTGGTCAAAATAATGTGAAAAAAAAAGAATTTTAAGATTAGAAATACTTATTTGCACTTTTATGATTTTCTATAGAATACGTTTTGATGATAATTACGTTGTTTTGTTAATAAAGGCTACAAAACAATATCAGTTTGTTTCAGCTGGTGGTGTGAACTGTGATTGTTTTAAATGTATGAATAAAGAATACTTACTTACTCTGGTGATTAATACAGTTTTGTTTGAGTAATGAATGAATGTTCGACTGAGGAGAGGTACAGCTAAAACTCGCAGAGGGGAACAGGGTCCAAAGCCACTCTGCAGTTCTATTTCTGTCCACCAGGGTTCAGTCTCTGTTCCTTTTGTTGCAGAATGATGAAGCAGCCCCGGCCATCCTCCGCAGACACTCATCCTCTGACATCTCTAAGCAGAAGTTTGGAACCATGCCCCTGGTCCCCATTCGAGGAATAGAGAGCAACAGCAGCATGCTCTCAGCCAATCAGACGCTGGTATGTGCTTTCCAGCCGTTGCTTAGCATTTTCAGATTGATCAAACCTCTGCTGTAACTAAGCCTTTGTTTCTCTGCAGAGGAAACTTCATGACAGAAGGACCCTCTCCATGTATTTTGTAAGTCCATATTTTCATGAAGCACTTTGTTGTGTGGCCCAGTGGTAGAGCTGGAGATACTTTTGGAATACTTCATTCAACAAAAACTTGCACTAGGACCCTTTGTGTAGTGATGAGGCTCTGTAACGCAGCGAGGCTTTCCTGCCAGACTGTTTCAAATGTGTGGAAACCTCTGATCTAGCGCAGATGAGATTATAACACTGACGTCTAGTGGACACATGTAATCATTAAATGTAGAAAATTCATTCTGTCTTCTTATGTTTATGGCTTTTAGGTTCTTCTAATAAGACAATTAAAGCAAAACAAAGCTAGAACTGCTTAAATACCTGACATGTTTCGCAGTGGCGGCTGGTGGAATTTTCTACTGGGGGGGCTATGAATATGATGACTAGATATATACCAGCAGTAAGTAAGTTTACACTGACTGTTGTGACTGAAGCCTCACACGAGAATCAACAAGGTCACATGATCAGGCCTGTAGCTTTCATCCAGCTGGGATGAAATATTTATCTTCCCAAACATAGCTAATTTGAGGGCATTTTGCATGTGGATACCAGTCTGCTCATGCTTCTTTGCCTTTTCTAAAAAGTGCTTCAGATCAGTCATACCTGTCTTGATCCATGCTGGGTCAGATCCTGATGTTTGAAACAAGAGGCATGGAAAGCAAAATAAAGCATTAGCCTCGCTACATGCTGCTAGCCAAGATTTGGCGCTGAACCAGGTCCTGGAAAAAGTACGAGTGTACCGTCTGTCTGTCGCTGGATTGCTGACTAATGGTAATATTTGGCTGATCAGGTCCAAGCTCTTTAACCTCAACCTTCTCCTGGTATGATCTTCTCTCAAACGGTATTGTTTTGAGTGATCTAACTGAATTATTCTTTTTCTCGTTCTCCATTTTGCGTCTCTTTACGTTCGTCTCAAATTCCCACAGCTTGACCTGTCAATCACTGTAAACGGACGTCACAGACAGTGACAGTACAGGTCGCGGGCGATCCCGCCCCCTCAGGGCGCACTTCTCCTGCGCCCCCAAATCGTCTTATCTCTTGCATTGAAGAGGAGCTACTGCGCATGTACAACTTTTAACGAGAGTCCATAGACGGCTCAGGGCGCAATCTTTTGCGCCCTGAGGCGGAAATACGTCCTCAGTCCGACACAGACAACGCTGATGAGCTTAATCAATCCAACTCAGCATAAACTAATAAAGTATTTCTTCCACATCTGAAATAAAACACACATAAATTTCGAAATATTTTAATGTTATTTTTTTTTTTTACGTTTTATTCAAGGTAACATGGCAAGTTGTGAGTGGTGGGGCGGCGCCCTAGCGCCCTCTATTGGCCGGCCGCCACTGATGTTTCGGCGGTACACTTCCGCCTTCATCAGAGGTGACACGTGATGGTGTGACGCGTCTCTTATCAGCTGTTGTTGCCGGAAGCAGTCAGTCTGACAGATCTCACAGATCCAACACAATATCCAACACAGATCCAACACAATATGCCATCAGAGCTTACCTCCAAAACCAAATGTAATGAGTTTGCAGAGTTTTTTAATGACAAAGTCCAAGGCATCAAAAATGCCATCACCTCCACAGTAGAAATTACAATCCAACAGCCAGTGAAGCTTTTTGGGCTGACACACTTTACACCAGTACAAAATGAAACTGTCCAAATGATAATTACAAGTCTGAGTTCTTCTACATGTAGCCTGGATGTATTACCTCCTAGATTTCTTAAATCTGTTCTGAGCAGTCTTTTACCTTCACTCACGCATATAGTAAATATGTCTCTTGAATCTGGAACATTCCCAATGGCCCTGAAAACGGCAGTCATCAGACCCCTCCTAAAAAAGAGGAGTCTGGATGCCTTGGCACTTAAAAGTTATCGGCCCATTTCAAATCTGCCTTTCATGGGTAAAATTCTAGAAAAAGTTGTCTATCAACAACTTACAGAATTTTTAATAATCAATCACTCTTTTGATATGTTCCAGTCTGGTTTTAGACCCCACCACAGCACAGAGACCGCTCTAGTGAAGGTAACAAATGACATCAGACTTAACACTGACGCAGGAAAAGTCTCAGTTCTTATCCTGTTAGATTTAAGTGCTGCTTTCGACACTGTCGATCATGGTATCCTCATTCAGAGACTTGAGGACTGGGTTGGTGTTTCTGGAACAGCCCTAAGCTGGTTTATATCCTACCTACAGGACAGAAAGTATTTTGTGGAGATCGGAAACTGTATCTCAGACCATCTGGCCCTAACCTGCGGAGTGCCACAGGGCTCAATCCTGGGGCCTCTCCTGTTTAATATTTACATGCTGCCTCTGGGTAGGTTAATACACAGTAATAACGTGTCCTATCACAATTATGCTGACGATACTCAGGTCTATGTGTCCCTGACAGCAGGAGAACATGGACCAGTGGACTCGCTCCTTCACTGTATCCAACAAATCAGTGATTGGATGCAAAATAACTTTCTCCAGCTAAACACAGAAAAAACTTGAAATTATTGTTTTTGGACCTCAAAAACAAAGAGAGAGCGTTATCTGCCACCAGCATTATCTGCCAATTATGGTGGAAAAATAAGTAATTGGTCAATAACACTAAAATCAACTCAATACTTTGGTAATATAACCTTTGTTGGCAATAACAGCAGGTCAAACGCTTGCTAAAGGTCTTTTACCAGGTTTTCACACACATTAGCTGGAAATTTGGCCCATTCCACCATGCAGATCTTCTCGAGAGCATGAACAAGACTTGTCTACTCCCTCCACAGATTTTCAATTGGGGTTGCGTCTGGAGACTGGCAAGGCCACTCCAGAGACTTTTTTCAAATGCCTCTTACGGAGCCACTCCTTTCGTTGCCCGGGCGGTTTCTGGGATCATTGTCCCATGCCGGAAGACCAGCCACGTTTCACTTCAAAGCGCTCACAAAGCAAGGAAGTTTTGGTTACAAAATCTCACTATACCACCCCATTCATTCTCTCCTTAAACACGATCAGTCGTGCCCTGTCCCCTTAGCAAAAAACACCCCAAACCCCCCCATGACGTTCCACCCCCATGCATCACGAGACTGCACTAATCATTTGTAACAGAAACTTTTGGGGACACATACTTCAATGCAGAGATGTCTAAACTAACACATTCTGTCAAAGCATCTAGTCTTGAGTAAGTTACAAACTTTCAAACCACATCAAAAACTAGTTGCTTCTATGTTGATGTTTGCTTCTATGTGCGTGTTTGGCCCTGTTGAGATCAGCTTTTGTCAGACAGAAAAAGAGAGGACCATCCTCATTCAGCCATTCAACTTCCAGCTTTAAGCAATAAATAGAGTTAAATAGTGATTCACAAGGATCTCACATATCTCAGAACACATATTCAAAAGATAACGAGAACATATTTTATTATGTCAGATTTATTCATAGTGTTTTACTTTTACAAGACTCAGGTGGCCCTCCCACAGGGAATTTACAAAAGACATTTTCAGCTCTATGCATGCACCAAGCATGCACAGAATTGTGCAGTGATCAGACGCCGCTGAGCGTCATGTGACCATACCGGATCTGCAGCAGCACAAAATTGCAGCAGTTTGTGTTAATTTTAATATACACAGCATCTGAACAGACCAAGAGCCCTGTTGTGAACCTAAGTCTCCATAGGATTCCAGAGTGTATTTCCGTTTCCATAGTCACACCTGCAGGCGTAGATCCTGGCTTCAAAGATGGCAATCTATTCCGTATGGCAGTGATTGAACAGCAAACCTGCTCAAACCATTTCATTTCTGACTCCGATTATTGCTGGCATTTACTCATATAAACACAACTGAGACAAGGCCAGAAGATGCACTTAAGAAAATAGAGAAAAGCTATGTATTAATAATATATGAATTATAATAAAGGGATTTTGCATGTAGTCTGGGATCATAGTAGAGATCGTTTTTTGTAGTGTACCACATAATCTTATGCTTTGGTCAGAAATGTAGGGGTAACAATAGACTCAAACTTAAACAGCTAAATCAAATCAGTGATATCAGCAGCTTTTTCATTCTAAAAAGATTGCGGAAATCAAAAGTATGGTGTCTAAAGCAGACTTGGAAATTCTTATCCATGCATTTGTCTCCAGTAGGTTAGACTACTGCAATGGCCTGCTCACAGGTCTGTCCAAACAGGCTGTAAAACAGCTGCAGTACATTCAAAATGCAGCAGCTCGAGTCCTGACTAGAACCAGGAAGTACGACCATATTAGTCCAGTCCTCAGGTCTCTGCACTGGCTTCCTGTGGCTCAGAGAATAGACTTTAAAGCAGATCTGTTTGTTACAAGTCTCTCCATGGCCTCGCACCAAAGTACATCTGTGACATGTCAGGGCCAAATAATCTCAGATTCTGAGTACAGGGAGCACAGACTGGCCTCCTCCCGGTGCACAGAGTCAGGACTAAGAACCGACGCAGTGTTTTAGACGTATACGGATAATATCTGGAACTTTTAGACTTGCTTCCTCTCTGACAATGCTGTGCATACAACTGAAGGACTGTATCTTCTCTCTTTTTAATGTACTGTGACTGTTTATGATGTCCTTGACTAATTGTATTTGCTTTTGTATCACTCTTTGAGTTGCCTTGTGTATGAACTGTGCTACACAAATATACTTGTCTTTATAAATGTATTTTATGTTTATCCATCATGACAATTAGATCACAAAAACTTATAAAACCACATTCCAAAGTTGGAGTTCCAGCTCAGAGGAAAACTGAAAGGCTGTTTGGTGTCACTAAACCATTGACTCAGTCCCTGCTCAGATCCTTGAGACGTGAGAGGAGTATGTGAGTGAAAGTGACAATCTCGTTAGTACGTTTACAGACAGTCACAGGCAGATCTGATTAAAGAACACACACAGGCTCTTTGTGCGCCCTCTTCACTTTGACTCACACACAACAGAGGCAATCAGAGCAGAGAGAGGCTTCAAACACACACACACAAGGCCGTGCGCTCCTGACCTCCTCCTCCCTCTATCTGCATTTAGATGAGCTGTGAAGAGCGGCACAGAGTAGAGCTG